GGTAGCTCACAGCAGTCTAACTCCAGAGCCTGAAGCCTCTCTGGACTCTGTGCACTGCAGACATCTGTGCATTTATATACCCTCAGGCAAAACACTCATAAACTAAAAATAAAGTCTTATCTGGGGCTTGGTGCAGCACACCTTTAGTCCCTGCACTCAGGAGGTGGAGACAGGCCGATCTGTGATTGTGAGACCAGTATGAGCTCCAGGACACCCAGAGATAAATATTGAGATCCTGTCTCAAAAAAAAAAAAAAAAAAAAAAAAAGAGAGAGAGAGAAAAAAAGAAAGAAAGAATCAATAAAAATAAAAAATAGACTCTTTTCTGTTGCTTGTTGGGGTCACAGCTATACAAAGAACCTAACATAGCTGTGGGAGGGTACATCTGTAATGTCAGCAGACAGGAGGAAAAGGCCAAGAACAGGTATAGTCCATACTAGGGGCCAGGCATGCTGGCACAAGACTTTAATATAGCACTCAGAAAGCTGGGTGTGGTGGAGCACACCTTTAATCCCAGGACACAGGAGGCAGAGGCAGGTGGATCTCTGTGAGTTTAAGGCCAGCCTGGTCTACATGGGTTCCAGGTCAGCTAGGACTACACAGAAAGATCCTGTCTCAAAAAGACCAATATAAATAAATGGTAAAGACAACACAAGCCTGGAGACCTGCACTGATTTCCTGGAACCCACAGAAAGGTGGAAGGGGAGAGCTGCCGCCACCAAGTCGTCCTCTGACCTATACACGAGCCGGGGCAGCACAGCTACACATGCAGAATGATAGACAAACAGAATTCGAGAAACTGACTCCACTTTTATTAGAACTCATTCAAATGTAAGATCAAGCAAGATTTTTTATTTTAATTTTATTTTATGGGTATGGGTGTTTTGCCTGATATATGTCTGTATGTCGTGGGTGTGACTACAAGAGGGCATTGGATCCCCTAGAACTGGAGTTACAGACAGTTGGACGCTAGGAATCAAATGGGAGCCATCGCTCCAGCGTTCAGATTCCCTAAACATGACGGTGCACCACAGGAGCAGTCCAAGTAGATAAGCCCCAGCCAGGAGGGACAAGCCACACTGCCAGTTTATTGGTACCATACCAGACGACAGGCAGAAAAAACAGACTGAAATGCACGGACAAGGCAAATCAAAGTTACTACATGTGTTCCTAAGGTCTTAAACAAGCAAGCTAACTCTGTGCCAGCAGAATGTCCTGACGCCCCTAAAGCTGGAGAGGGCACGGACTATAGAAAGAGTCAGTCTGGCCATACAACTTTAGCTCAGCAAAGCCCGCTTCAAATTTCCTGCCTCTAGAACAACAGACAGTAAGTCTGAGCTGTTTCAAGCTTCTAAGTCTGTGGTAATTTGTTGAAAAGAAAACTAAAGGCCAGGAACGAAAATCCCGTGAGATGGAAGCTGCATAAACCAATATGCACACAGCAAGCAGGGAACAGGTACACCAGTGACTTACAATACATTTAGAAGCCAGGCGGTGGTGTTCAGCACTGGAGGGGTAAGGGGGGAGGCAGAGGCAAGCAGATCTCTGAGTTCGAGGCCAGTCTGGTCTACAGAGTGACTTCCATGACAGCCAAGGCTACATAGTGACACTTTGTCTTAAACTCCCCTCCCCTCAAAACAAATGAGAAAAGAAAAGAGCCTCCATCTTTATGACAATCCTCTGAACTCCAGAGAAAGGACGAGCTGGCGAGCACAGGGTACCGCTGTGGCAACTCCCCCACAACTCCCCCACAACTCTCCCCTGCAGCTTCAGGCAGTTGTGTTGGTTTTGTTGGGAGCAGAATCCACCTATGCACGCCAGATAAGTGCTGTCATCGCTGAGCCACACCACAGCTTCACCCTGAAGAGCACACTCAGAACTCCCATTTTTGGTGTGTGACACCCCAAGCGGTTAGGGGAAAGTAGGTCCTTTGGATAACACCCAAGGAGTTCTGTTTTTTACCAATTAGAACAAAATAAGGGTGTTTTGAGACAGGGTCTCTCTATGTAGCCTTGGTTGTCCTAGGCAACTTAAAAAGAAGGGTTGGCGAGATGGCTCAGTGGAAGAAAGAAAGAGAGAGAGAGAGAGAGAGAGAGAGAGAGAGAAAGAAAACAAAACAAAAAAACACTCATAGACCAGGTTGGCCTTGAACTCATAGATGTCTGCCGAACTCTGCCTCTGAAGTGCTGAAATTAAGTGTGCCTGGCTTTAAAGCTAGGAATCCCTTCTGCAGGAAGTCACAAGACCCACAGGCACCTCTGAAACAGCTAAGTCCTGCCTCCAAACAAGCACACAAGAGTGCCCACTGACATAGACCAAGCTATGGAAGTTGGAGGTGAAGGCAGAAAGATGAAAGGTGAAGGCCCTGGCAGAGGTCAGGTCAAGCAAGGTGGCAGGCGAGTATAGCCACCAGGACTCACCAAGTCCAGGCAGCAGGCGCAGGAGTGCATTCTTGTTTCTCTGCTTGGTGATGTGCAGGACGTAGTACAGCCCCACCTCACAAGCCATGCGCTGCTCCTGCAGAAACCTGCGTGCAAGAAGCCATGGCCTCCGATCAGCCCACCGAGCAGAGCCTTCACCTGCAGCCCCTCTCTCCGGCCTCCCCCAAGCACTGCCCTGGAGTCCTACTTGGTGAAACTTTCAGGAAGCGTGTTGGGATATGTGACTGGGGCTTTCTCCTCAGCTGGAAGCTTCTGATCTACGTTGAAAGTGTAGTCATCCACCACGAAGGACATGAGCATCGGCAGGAACTTGGTGATGAGCTCTGCCTCCTGGCAGAAGGAGTGTCTGAGCTCACTAAGGGCCCACTGATCCCGGCTGCTCTCAGCATACACCCTAACCCACAATGCCCAGTGCATACCTTGCCCTTACCCACCCAATACACTTTCCTCAAATCCAGCTTTCTTGCCCACTGGTCCCTAGAATCCCTCCTTCCTGTTTCCTGAGACGCATGTCCAGTGCTATGTTCTTGAACCTTTCATCTGGCATGATCACGGCTGAACCTGTAAAACCCCTTCTGGGTCCCAGTCCCCAGGAATAGCTACCACCCTGCGGCCGGTCTATCAAGACACCCAAACATCCTTAATGGATGTTCACCCAAAGACTCTAGGAGTTTTGCTGCCAAAGGGCCCCGCCCTGCTACTCCCCACAATTTGAAAAAAAAAAGGAAACTATAGACCCCATACCATCTTGGGCTCCTTGAAGACCTGGCTGTCTATTAAGTCCCAGGCACCTTGGCCCAGCGCCAGCAGCCTAAGTAGGAGAAGGAGGTCGGGACTATCCTGTAAGAAGACAGAGACCTCAGCCAGAGCTCACAGGGACTGTGCCATCTATGCTCTCACTGAAGAAAGCAGGGCCTCTGCTTTCCAGGGAAAGGACCTTAGGAGAGCAATCACAAGGTCCCCATTGAGCGAAACCCAATATCCCAAGTGGACAGCATGCCCTCTGCACAGCCACCAGCCATGCCTATGCTCACCCTGGGCAGTGTCTCCTGGCTAACCAGCTCCTGCAAGTGCCTGATGGTGCTCAGGGACAGTGTGTTGATGGCAAAAGGGTCGCACAGGATCATGGACAAATCTCTGGAAGGAATCAGACCTTGGTATGAATTGAAAAACCTGGTTATTCTGTTTTTAACAGCTGTAGTGTCAGACCTACTAAAGGGACAGCCAAAGTCCCTGGGAGGCAAATGCTTGGGGACTGACCCCAGGGAGGGAGCCTCTCTCTGTATTGAATTCATAATTTATCCACAATTTACTCAAAGATCTTCTAAACTATAGAGTAAAAAAAAAAAAAAATTATCCTTCCCCCCCAAAAAAACTAAATTCATACTTTGTTTCAAAAACCCTGACTGAGGGCTGGAGAGATGGCTCAGAGGTTAAGAGCACTGCCTGCTCTTCCAGAGGTCCTGAGTTCAATTCCCAGCAACCACATGGTGGCTCACAACCATCTGTAATGGGGTCTGGTGCCCTCTTCTGGCCTGCAGGCATATACACAGACAGAATATTGTATACATAATAGATAAATAAATAAATAAATAAATAAATGGGGGGGGGAAACCCTGACTGAAAGGCCAAGTAGGGGTAGCACATGCCTTTATCCCAGCACTCAGGAGGGAGAAGCAGACAGGTCTCTGTGACTGCTACACAGTGTTTGGTCTACACAGTGAATCCCTACACAAAACCCTATTTCAAAAGAAAACCCAAAACCCCAGCTTAGACTCTAGGTTTAGTGGAAGAATATAATAAAGAAACGAGGCAGGGCTGTACCAGCAGTATCTTCATGCCAGGCAGAGGAGTGTCTAATCCAGCCCTCAGCCCTGACAGCACACACTCACTTGTGACAGACGGCAGTGCCCTCCTGCCTAAGCTCTCTAAGTTAGCTCCCCTGGGAAGGGCAGGCCCCAAACCCCATGCCTTCCAGGTATGGATCCTTTTGCTACTGAGACTCATTCCATGTAATGAGTTAGCATGTTAGCAATGGGCCTGGTACCCAGCATGTCCATCGCAAAACAGACTGGAATGGGTCCCAACTACCAACAATAAACAGCAACCCACAATAGATGCCTGTTTAGGCATCCCAAGGCCCTAGGATTCTCACCCCAAAACTTGTTCCTGCCCCTTCTTCACACCATCAAGAAATCCCTGCAGCTCCCGGGCTCTTTTGCTGTCCACAAACCGCTCGCGGATACAGGCATCCAGGCACCAAGTGAACTAAAGGAAGAAAGTATACAATCTCAGTACACCCAGCCTCTCACCCCCTCAGTCCAACTCTGCCACAGCCCAAGTGGCTGTGGAAATTGCAAGGTCAGAGCAAAGATAAACACAAGCCAAGGCCCATGACCCCATCCTAGGCCAAGCCCAGGATAGAAAGGGGTCCCTGGAGAGGACAGAGAAAATGGCAATTAGTAGAAGTGGGGTATGCCGAAGGCTGGGCTGCAGGGGTCTTCAGGCTTAGACAGTCAAGACCACTATTACGTTGTCACTCAACCACTAGGTGTTAACAGAGAAAGAGAAACACAGTACTCATTCCCCAGTGTCCAGAGGAAACATGACATGGGCTGAGACGCCAGGGGCCTACAGAGAGCAGGAGGTCTCCTCAGGCCCCAAAGCAGCAGGGATCAGGACAGCACATGGAGGAGGCCTGTCTGTTTTCCCAGGGCTGGCAACTGGGCGAACATGTTATGGCAGCTTTGTGGTGGTTCTCAGGGCTTAGCAATAAGCTTTGTGGTGGTTCTCAGGGCTTAGCAATAAGCAACACCACACAGAATGCAGGAGGTTGTCTCAGATGCCCTATGCTCTTGGTGGGGGATGGAGCAAAGTACAGAGAACCCTATTCCTAGATTACCTTGGTGCTGGCCAGCAATAAGCCCTGAGGGCTCTGGGGCAGAAGAAGCCAGGAGCCCAACAGAAAGAAGGCCATAGAGCTTGCCACTTATAGCTATCGAGTGGAGGCTGGAGGACCAGCAAGAGAGGCAGCTGGAGCCAGGCAGTGGTGGCGCACGCCTTTAATCCCAGCACTTGAGAGGCAGAGACAGGCAGATCTCTATGAGTTCGAGGCCAGCCTGGTTTACAGAGTGAGTTCCAGGACAGGCTCTAAAGCTACAGAGAAACCCTGTCTCGAAAAACAGAAACAAAAACAAAAACGAGGCAGCTGAACAGCCAGGTCTCTGCAGGATCTGCTCACCTCGGCAGTGCTGGGGCACACAAGCTGGCAGTCTGAGAAGCAAGCTTCGATGCAGTTAGCAGGTCACTCCTAGATAATGATTTCAGGGGAGGAGGACACAGGGGACGTGCACAGACGGGCACACAGCACTACCTTATGGCAGGGATCCACAGTACAGATGTCACTGACGTCCAAGTCATGCAGGGACATGAGCAGCTCAGCTCGTAGTGTGCAGTAGTGCACATTTCTGGTCCGCAGGAACAGTGTGCGCAGAAACTGCAGCACCATGTCATACAGCTTCACATTCTTCCCTACCATCTGCGTCAGCTTCTGGACCACCTAGGGGCAAGACAGGCAAGTGGAGTCCAAAATCCCCACCCTAGGATGGGGAAAGAGGGAGCCAATTTCTGCTACCCAAGGTGGTAGTTCCACATCCATCCCAGGGATACCTTAGTCTGTGATCTACTGTGATTTCAAGCACCTGCCTGTCAGGAAAAGAGGCAGGTAACTCATCCTAGAAGCAGTGCCAAGAGCCCATCTGAAGACAGGGGCTCAACACAGGAAGCTCAGGCTATACTGCCACTGCCTAGGTTAAGGTCTATGAGGCCACACTGGGCTCTCTGCTTCCCTATCTTCTTCCTAAGCTTATGGCTGTGACCATCCTTGTCCCAACACTGGTACCAGGGCCACAGAACAAGGGCCAGGCGCCTGGTGTCAAACCACAAACACTAACAGACAGCTTCACCTTGCACTCTAGGCAAAGGCCATGCAGGGACACCTACCCTACTCTACCCAGCAAAGGCAAACTGCACAGTCCTGCTCAATATAAAGGCTTCAGCCAACACAAAGAAGTTTCGCTCCATTGCTAACTGGCCATGGTCTCAGGCCTATAGTACAAGGGAACATTTGGGATTAGCCCAGGGTGGAGTTATCACAGCAAGCTCAAAGGCAACAGGCTAGACTCAGCAAGTAATAAGGTCAGTGGGAGGAAACAAGAGGGTGCCAAGAGCCAGAGGCTGGTCTGGTAGTTCACTCTCCAAGACCCTTGCCAAGAACTCTTGGACTGACCTGGATCTTTATCTCTGGAACAAAATCTTCACTGTTGACATCACTCAAGCCATGTGGATGGCTCAAGGTTCCCTCACTCACTAAGTACAGACCACAGAGGCAATCCAACCCTGTCATAGAGTATGCCTGCTTCACACATGACCAGCTGGGGACCACCTGTTCATAGGCAAGACAGCTGTCCTACAGCCAAGACTGAAAGGGTAACCCACCAGCCTGATATCGCCAATGCTATAAAATCACATAGCACTTAGAAAAGTCTACAAAGTTTCCAAGGGGAAAAACAGGCCAGCATCAAAGGGCCAAGGATCAGACTCATCTGCAGAAACTAACAACACAGACAGTCACGAAAGGTCTTTGGTATTGAGGACTGCAATTCCAAACCAGCCACTTGGCCTACAAGTCCAAACAATGTCTGATGTGTCAACCCTGGAAGCCTACAGCAAGAGTAATGCACTCCAATGAAACAAGAAGGAAATGCAGGAAGGGAGAGGAAACTTGCAGAAGAGAATAGTCAAATCAACACAGGTCGCTGGGCTAAATCAGACCTGGTGTGGCCCCACACGGCAAAGGAGGAGAGTCAAGAGGGCCAGGGGATCGGAGAGCCAGGGGAACCATAGAAGAAGCCAGCATACCTCTGGGCAGCTAGACAACTGGAAAGTGTGTACACCTGAGCCCACACTTGCAAAAACCTGTTCTACCATCTCCACCTTTTACACTTGAGACAGAATCCCTCACTGAGCCTGCAGCTCAACAGATCTTATTTGTTTCTGCCTACACTGGCAGGTCAGAAAGCCCCAGTGACTTCTCCTGTCTCTGCCTCGTCCCTTCCAGCACCAGGGTCACAGGAACCTGTGGCCACATTGAACTTCTTTGTGAGCGTTAGAGATTCAAACTCAGGTCTTCATGCAAATAATTTTACCTAGAAAGCCACCTTCCCATTCCTTCCCTGCATACTTTTCTGCTCCTCTGTACATTTTTCCATTTGTGCATATATATACATATATATGTATATATATGCAACTTTTAAAAAAATCAGCCCAAGACAAGGCCAGTCAAGCAAATCCTCTGACAGTCAGAAATCAGTGCTGTTTGTGGTCAACCACCAGAAGAAACGTGCTTCTAGAAACACACTAACCTACACACTCACAGGAAAGAGGGAAGGGGCTGGCCACATACCCCTACGAGTTATCAGCCTCAGGCTGATTTCCTCACCTCTCCCTGGCGCCTGGTCTTGGGGGAAGGGCTGAAGAAGTTGTGTAGGACAGAGAGCTCTGTGCTGAAGAGCGCACTCTCTTTCTCCAGGATATACTGCTTCAGCAGTGGTGAGACTTCATCACCAAACAGCGCTTGGTTGTCTTGCCAGATCTGCCTCTTCACTTCCACAGCACACGCTCGATACAATTCCTTGTCAGCCATCACCAGCTTCAGCTTCTTCTCAGGAACCTACACAGCAAACACCACAGCTCCCTGCAAGTGGTGCCTGTGTCCCCAAGTCTCCCTCAGGATAGGCCAAGAGGGCTCAGCTGCCTACAGAACCTGATGAGCCCAGCCACACCAACAAAGACACCTGTAACGGACCGCCAAGTCTTGGCAGGTGAACTCAGACATTCAGAATCCCTATGGCCCTCTCCCAGGAAAGACCCACCCTCCAACTCAAGGGATAAATGTGTTTCCATTTGACTCATGCAGAGGAAGTCTGTGATACAGAGAAGAAGGTGCTCAGAGCTTGCTGGAGGGCCAGTTCATAAAACTTTCCAGGAGCTAAGCAACTGCCTGCACCAAGCCGCCAGTCTGACCTCCACCAACCAAGGGCATGGGGCAGGCTAGCCAAGCAGTAGTATGTTAGCACAGGCTCTCTGACCTACCCTGGGAGGGCTGGCTCCACAGCTCTCACCTTGGGCAAGTGCTTCATAACACACATCACCACTGGTTGTAGGGATGGCATCTTGACCAGAGAAAAGCTCTTTTCCAGAAGGTCTTCCAGCTTCTTGTACCTGGGCAGATTTGTACAGCTGAAAATACGGGTCTCCACATGCAGGACCTACAGAGACATCTCCTCAAATATATTTCAGGTCGTATCTACAAACATGACTGTGCAGCCATGGGGGGGGGGGGTGTAAATGCTACCCACAAAGATAAACGCTTCCCGGTAGAGACCCACCTCTCCTCTGCCTTTCCCTCAGAAGCAATAGCTGACACTCGTTCCAGCAGTTTGTCGCGTAGCTCATCAAACACTGACTGATGGAACTCCAGCCGCGGTGTCCCATGTAGGTCCAAGAAGGGCAGGGCCGACTGCAGGGATGGCAGCAGCACGCCATTCTCTGTCTGGAAAAGCAGAGGGTCAACGCGTATGCATTTTGCTTGGCCGCAGTTAAGTCAGCACGGACACCATGGATGCTCTGAGTACACAGGTGCGCGGTGATAACCGCGAAAATGGAAGAAAAAAAAAAAACTCAGTTAATCAATGGGTTCCTAGCTCAGGACCTCCAGTGCCTCCATCCAAGCGTCGGGAGACCGTACAATTGTGACCGGCTTCCCCAGAGGCCCGGTTCCCTCCTGCCCACCTGAAATTGCTCAATGGCTTTGAGCGGTTCTGTGCAGTTGGTCAGGGTCTCTTTCAGGTCCTCGCCATTGGCCACGCCCAGGTCCTGGAGCCCCGCGAACATGGCCGAGGCTCCGGCTGCCGCCCGGCTGTGCACCCCATCCCCGCCGCGCTCCCCTGAGGCCGTCGAGGACGCTGAAGGAGCGCCAGAAGCCCTCTCCACGGTGCCACCACGGGGACCCCCCGAACCCCGCTCGCCCGCAGCCTCCAGCGTGGCCAGATCGCCCCAGCAGAGCCGCTTACACCGGCCCACACCTCCCACTTCCGCCCTTCGCTGCGGTCCAGCAGCCAATAGGTCCCGGGAAAACGCCGCCGCCACGCGCAGGTTCCGGGCAGCGACTCGCTACACATTAAGAGACAGTGCGCAAGGGGGAGGTGTCGAGATGACGCAACCACCTCTCGAGAGGCCTTGGCCACTCTAGCCGCCGCCGCCGGGGCCACGAAATCTTCCGCCTTTCACCTCGTCCGCTCTCCGGAAACCAGAACCCATACTCTGAGCCAGCAGAGAAGGGTGGAGTAGTAGCAGGCTTCTGGACCTTATGAATTTCAAGTCTGACTCAAGTACATTTTTATATGACTATGTATCATCTTTTGCCGCTAATTTGTCTTCTTGTGCCCACAGGTGTAAGGCATAGTACGTGATCTTCACAAAGTTCCCACCATTGCCTTCTTTTGGACTAAGATCTGAATATGTCTCTAGTGTCACCAGAAGTGCTTTCCAAGAGCTCTGGGTATGCTGAAGATTGAGATTTGAGCTAGATTCCAGGTTGCACAGCGTCCCATGTCCTTGGCAGTAAAAGAAGCTGCCTTGGCTGGAGGGCTCTCAGGCCGTCTGGTGTGTAAGCTCTCAGCATTTCGCTCTCTGCAGCCTCCCCCGCTGTTCCAGCTCTCACCCTTTCTCCCACCAGCCTCCTGAACACACCTCCAAATACTTCACCTCTTTTTCATATGCCTTTGCTGCTGAGGTTTACTCTGCTACAAATTCCCCCCCTGCTGCCCACCCCCTACATTCTTGACTATCATCGGAAGCCGCTTCTTTTACTGCCTCCTCTAGGAAGCCCTGGGAAGGCGTGTGGGGCCCGCAGCAACGGGTGATAACTCCTGTTCAGTGGCTGGCATTAGGATGCCTGGTGATGTGGCTATAAACAGAGCTCCTCTCCCTCTGAGGCTGAGTTCCTAAGGCCAGGGCTGCACCCTTCTGCCACTGTTTTTGCCAGCTGAGCGGCTCCCCACCGGGCCCCATAGTAAAGGTCCCATCACCCTAATTGCCCGGGATATTTTGGTTCAGCCAGCATCTGGTGCAGTCAGAAGATACACATACGGTGTACTTAGACTCTTGGTCCAAGGCTTCCACTCTGCAGAAGTGGGTGATGCTGACACCAAGGCAGCAGCTGGGGCAGGAACTGCAAGAGCGAGCTCTCAGAGGATGGTGTCACAGCTCGGTCAGTGTGCTTGTTGCCATGTCTGAAGACCTGAGCTGGAGGTGTTCTAGTTCTCTGACTTCCATGTGAACGCAATTGTACACACAAACAAACTCTGCAGGTGTTGGGGGCCGGTGCCAGCCCCAACATAAACTCTCTCTCTGGGGGCTGGAAAGATGGCTCAGAGGTTAAGAGCATTGCCTGCTCTTCCAAAGGTTCTGAGTTCAATTCCCAGCAACCACATGGTGGCTCACAACCATCTGTAATGGGGTCTTGTGCCCTCTNTATTTCTCTTGACCAGATCCCAACATAAACTATCACTCTCTGGACCGGCATGGAGGCGCGGGAATAAAGACAACTCACATGGCTTTGTCGAGAGGGAGATTCTCAGAGATCCCTCATGAAATCCTGAGTTTCCTGAAAATTTTTTCTGTTTATTTTTTAAACAGCCTTTATAACAAAACATAAATTGAGGAAATTTATTAGCATTGTTTCCTAGGTAACCAGGTGAATGGCTTTAGTTAAGTCTACACCTTTGGCCACACCTTTCTATGCCAGTTTTGTCAGTCTCCCTATCCTCCTGCTCTGGATGCTAGCGCTCACATAGGCCTGAATTAGCATCTCTATCCCAGGCATCCTCCAAATTACAAAGGAGCAGAATAACATCCTGACCCTTTGTTAGGGTAGCGGCAGCCTGGAAGGCCACCTCAGGTGCCAACTATGGCTTGAGAGCCTGGCTGCCATTCCATATAGAAATATGGGCCTACATGGAGGAACACTTGTTACTGTTGCAAAGAAGTCTGGGTTTGGTTCCCAGCACTCACCTGGTGGTCCATAACTATCCATAATTCTGGTTCCAGGGGATCTGATGCCCTTTTCTGACCTCCACCAGCACCAGGCATACATGTGGTATACAGACATACATGCAGACAAAACATCAAAACATTCATACACATAAACTGAGCTCTCTTTTTTTTGTTTGTTTTGTTTTTTCGAGACAGGGTTTCTCTGTAGCTTTGGAGCCTGCCCTGGAACTAGCTCTGTAGATCAGGCTGGCCTCAAACTCACAAAGATCTGCCTGTCTCTGCCTCCCGAGTGCTGGGATTAAAGGTGTGCGCCACCAACTCCTGGCATAAGCTCACTTTTTAAGTGAGTTCTGGTTTGGGTTTGGTGGTGTCCTTTTTTCTCCCCTTAAGACAGGGTCACTATTTAGACCAGGTGACCTTGAACTCAGACCCCCTTGCCTCCTGACTTCTGGGATTAACTGACTGTGGTGCTAAGCTCAGCAATGATGCTCATCTTTAATCCAAGAACTCGTAGAAGCAGGTAGATCTCTGAGTTCAAGGTTAGCCTGGTTTGCATAGTGACTTCCAAGATAGTCAAGGCTACAATAGTGAGAGCCCCAGCCCTGTCTGAGGGAGGAGAGGAAGAAAGAAAGAAAAGTTGGCTCTGAGAGTTGGAGAGGTGGCTCAGCAGTTAAGAGCACTTGCTGCTCTGGCAGAGGACCTGAGCTCAGTTCTAGCACCTACAGGGCTGTTCATAGCCATCTGTAACACCAGTTCCAAGGGCTCTAATGTCTTCTTCTGGCCACTAGGCACACATGCAAGTAAAACACCCATATACATAAAATAAAAAAATGTCAAGTCTTGGCCGGGTGGTGGTGGTGGTGCACACCTTTAATCCCAGCACTCGGGAGGCAGAGGCAGGAGGATCTCTGTGAGTTCGAGGCCAGCCTGGTCTACAAGAATTAGCTCCAGGACAGGCTCTAAAGCTACAGAGAAACCCTGTCTTGGGAAAAAAAAAAAAAAAGTCAAGTCTTTAAGCGAGGACTGTGCCCGTGTGAGAAAGTATGGCAAGGGCCCTGGAGAAACTGCTGTCGCTAGCTGGAAGGTNGGGGGTTAGGTTCTCAGAACACAGGTTACAAAGGCCGGCTGAATCTTCATGTTAAGGTCCAGGGAACTAGGACCAGTGTCTGGTGAGCTGATTCCCTTGGTCCTGCCTAGCGGGCTGGGCAAGGCTACACCTGTGTGAAGATGGCAAAGGTCCAGGTTCTGACCTACCACCCTAACCCACCAACTAGTTCCTCAGCTCCGCAAGCAGCCTGACCCTCAGGAAGACACTAGACCTTCGGTGACATATCTGGATCAGGTTGTCCCACGTTGTCACAGGATCCTTTTTCTATTCTGTCCTAGGTCAGGACACTTAGGGTTAGTTCCCAGGCTGCCATTTCAATCCTGAAGAAAAGGACACCATGCAGGAGCAGAGAAAGCCAGAGATATCAGGAAAGCCAGAAATACACAGGAAGCCACATATTCAAAACAGCTCATTGGGCAAAGGATGGGCAACCAGGTAGACCAGAGATCACAATTCAGAAGAATCATTTGCATCTCAGTATAGTGGGGGGAGGGGAGCTCTCGGAAGACTCTTCTTGTTGCACAGTGTAAGCCAGAAGAGATCAGAAGAACAAGCTGCAGACAGAATTCCAAAGGAAGCCTAGGAAAACCTCAAGGAAGGTCAGCTTTGCAATCTATACCCGTTGGGCCTACAGTGTGCAGAAGGGGCCTGTGTCGTGCCGCTTGGGTCTGCGCACTCCTTGGATGACCACTCCAGGCGGAGACGGGAAGCGGGAATTGTAGCAGTCTTCCACGTAGTATGCAGCCGGACCTGGGGTTCGGGCTGCAGAGAAAGCGAGCTGACCCTAGTCCTTACCACCGCACCATCCCCATGTTCCCCAAGCCCCACTCCACCCTCAGGCAGACCAAGCCTCTTTTCCTAGGCCTCCTTACAGGAACTGGCCCAGGAGACAAACGCTGGGGAGCGACTCATGGAGAAGGCAGGCGAACGTGTGCTCTGCATATGGAACCCAGGAAGGATGTTATAGGTGTTAGGGCTGGGTCGCTTCTCGCCAGAGGGCTTTGAGGCAGTCAAGAGTGGAACATAGGTAGAGGGACCTCGGGCTCGAAGCATCCCTGGACGTAAATGACTCTCTGGTATCTTGACAGCGGAGCGGCGTCGGCGTCCAAAGCTGAAGGCCGGGAAGGCAGGCTGGCTCAGAGGCCTGTACTCGGCGGGTGATGGCCACTGTGAGGAGTCAGAAAGCAGCCTGGGGCTGCAGCCTTCTTGCTCAGCTTTACCCTATCCTCCAGGCCTGACCTGTGTTTTTGTGTTTGATCCTCAGGGTCAGCCCAGCCACGTAGCTCCTCCCTCAAGCCTTTCTCACAAGCCCCCTGACCCCTCCTTTCCTCGCCTCCTCCTCACCTGCAACACCCCCATCTTCCACAAGGCGTCCCCTAACCATCTTCTCCCACCCTTCTTCTACCTGGCCCTACACAGCGTCTACCTTTCGCTCTTGGTCGAAGTCGGTCTTCTGCAGGAAAGGGCTTTCACTTTGGAACCACAAGGTCTGCCATGCCCTGCGGCCACCACCCTCTGCAGTAAGGTGGATAGTTGGTGGGGAGGTCTTCGGGGCAGGAGGCCCCAATTCCCCAGGTATAGGCAGGGTTGTGGGAACATGCACCTCGGCCAGGGTACTTGCGGCCCATGCTGTAATGGGGATGTGGAGAGGACTCCCGCAGAGACGCACTGGGCACCTCATACGCGGTGGGACCAGGGACATCTAGGTCAGTCAGGATCGGAGGGCGTCGTTCCAGGACTGGTACGAAAAGCAAACTCTAGACCCATTTCTTCCCCAAAAGTTGCTTTCCTTTTATCCCTACCCATACTGGCCTGGGACGGGAGTGAGGTAGCCGAGAAGCTCACTCACACAGCTCCTTCAAGGTCCCTGTGTAGAAAGCTGAGGACTCTTTGGGGGCAGCCATTCTGAAGCCACTTGGGGCCCTCTTCGTCTTTGGGGGCCACATCTCATCCCAGGCTGCCTCAAGCTCCTGGTCCCACCATAGAACAGCAGCCTCCGGCCTGCAAGGAAGCCAACAGCCACTGTCCACCTGTCTTAGTGACCTTTCCACCCGAGTCCCCGCTTGCCCACCACCCTCTGAAATTACTGCGTGGGATGAAGAGGTTGCTGACTCAGGGGCCCCCGGGTCCAGTGTTTGCCTCCATTGATGTAAAAATTTGCCAGGAATTTCACAGCCTTCTGGTCAAAATTCATTCTGAGTCTTGGGGTTCTCTTGCTAGAGGGCACTGCTGGGCTCTGTGACCTCACTGTTGGGTATGCCCCTCCCCTCTGTTGCTGGGAGCTCCCTAGGAGAGGAACATAGTCCAGATCAGGAGGGGCTCCCCTACAGGGCCTCCATCCTCTGCCCCTCTCACTACCTGCTGAGACTGTCACCCAGGTCAGCTTTGGTCCAGACGTGCTCTAACCTGTCCCAGCCCTTTTTCCCTCTCCTGGGAGCTCGTCTGCTCTAGCAGTACTTCTGGGGGGTCTGGGGCCCCATGCTATGTGACCAGGGGGCAGGGCCTGTGAGTACCATGCCAAGTCCTGCAACATGGCTAGGTGTGTGAGTGAGGACCAGCTAATAGAAGAAAGACAGTCAGGAGGAAGAGGAAGAGCTGCTGCCCCTGGAGCAAATCCTGGCCCCGGGGAAACAAAGCAGAGTAACTCCGGCCTGGCTTCAGGATCAGGCCAGTTCACTCAAGGCTAGTTATGAGCGCTTGTCTTTTGCCTCTGCCTGCAGGTATGGCGGCCAGAAGGCCAGAATGTATTGGACGAACTGGGTTGTGCCAGATATATATATATATATACACACACACAAAGGATTACTGAGCCTGAAGGAGCAAGGACCTGTCTGGGCACTAAGGCCCTTGCAGAGTGGCCTCTGACGTTGACTGGTCTGACTGTCCCAGCCCTGACCTTGGTCCCAGCCCTTCCCAGGCCTAGCTGAGACAATACATACCTTATCCACAAAGCCTCCCCCAGCCCTCTTCTATCAGGACCGGGCCTTTCTGGAGGCCCTTCCTGGACGCTCCCTTTAGCACTGGCCCTGATTGGCACTCTTCTGAATAGATGGATGGAGACTTGAGGAAACGAGTTTCATCTGGACAAAGGGAGCCTTCTCCTGCATTGTGCAGTGTCCGTTGAGAACACAGTTGATGGTGTTAAGGTACCTGATGTGTAGGGATTTGTTGCCGGTTAGATGACTCCAGTTTCTCCCGGCAATAAATTCTGCTGTGGGGATATAGATGGCTCAGTAAGTAAAGCACCTTCTGTGCCATCATAAGACCCTAAGCTGCATGTCCAGTGTCCACATAAAATCCAGGTGTGTGCCTCTGCAACCCTGGCACCAGGCAGATAGAAGAGGAGGATGCCTGGAGTTCATAGTCCAGCTGGTGGAGCTAAACTGACATACTGCAAGTTCTGTGAGACAAACCATATCTCAAAAACAAAACAAAACAAAGACAAATGAAGGCGTGGAGCAGTTGAGAAAGAATCCCAACATCAGCCTCTGGCCTCTAGAATACACACTCAAACCGCTGAGGAGCTGGGCATGGTGGCCTACACCTGTAATCCCAGCCCTTGGGAGGCTGAGGCAAGTGTGTGGCTACAAGTTCAAGGCCAGCTTGGGCTATGTAGCAAGCAAGCAAGAAAACAGATGTAGCTGTGATGTGTGTCAAACATGTATCTTTTCTTGATTTCATATGTATGTATGTGTGCCACATGCAAGCCTGGGGATGTGGAGGTCTGTAAAGGGCATCAGATTTGCCTAGAAGTAGAGTTACATTTGGCTGTGAAACTACCATGTGGGTGTTGGAAACTGAACCCAGATCTTCTACAAGATCAACAAGTGCTCTTAGCTGCTAAGACACCTCTGGTCCCCACCACAACCACCTCGGACCTTTGGCTATGAGTTTCAGAGCACTCATTGGGGTGGGGGGAGCAGTGTCTTGTTTAGATGTGATCTGTAAGTAAATTGTGCTCCAGAAGGTGTACCTCAGAGACCCACATTAGAAACCTCCGTTACCAGCATACGTCAGCATTAACTTGATTCTGTGCAACTTTTGTGTTTAGAGGCTATGAGTTTGTTTTGTTGTCAAACATTTGTGTTTACATTTGCATTTTAATGTGGGGGCTAATTTTTAATGTTTTATTTCATAAGATTTTTTAAGATTTTTTTCAATGAGACTGTGAAGCAATTACCTGAATTTAATTTATTGAGGTTTTTGTTTTTGTTTGGTTTGGTTTTCCAAGACAGAGTTTTTCAGTGTAACAGCCCTGGCTGTCCTGAAACTCACTTTGTAGACCAGGCTAGCCCTGAACTCACAGAGATCCTCCTGCCTCTGCAGCCCAAGTGCTGGGATTAAAGGCTTGCGCCACCACTGCCCAGGTTATTTTTGGTTTTTTTAGACAAGGATTTTCTGTATAGGTGTAGCTCTGACTGTCCTGAAACTCTAATCTGTCTGCCTCTGCCTCTTGAATGCTGGGATTGAAGGCATGTGCCACTACTGCCCAAGCTATCTTTAGTATTTTTAACTCTGTGTGTGTGTATAGGTATGTGCACTTGAGTGCATATGCCTACAGAGGCCAGAGGTGTTGGATTCCTCTGTAGCTAGAGTCATGATATGCCTGATATGAGTCCTGGAAATCAAACTAGGGTCTTCTGAGAGAGTGGTCTTAACCTCTGAGCCATCTCTCTAGCCCTTCACAAGTCTCTTTTGTGCACTTATCTGTCCAACAGCTATTGCAAGGTTTAGTCTCCTTCCATCATTGTTTATGCTGATTTGACATGGAGTAGAGGCTGCTAGTTTTCCCCCCTCTATGTTATATTCACTTGTATGGTTATAAAGCTCTTTCTACGAGCTGGGAACATAGCTCAGTCTGTTTTCCACACATGCTTTCTGGACTTCGGTTTGGATCACCAGCTCACATAGAACGAGCTTGTCTTGGTGGCATGCTTGGGCCACTCAGATGGTTCAGTGGATAAAGGCACTTGCCACCCAAGCCTGACAATCTGAGTTTGCACCCCAGAACCCATATGGAAGAGATAACCAACACCCCAAAGTTGTCCTCAGACCTCCACGGAAGTGCCATAGCACATGTGTGCACACAAGATTAAAACATCGCTTTGTGAAGCAAGGGCCGGGGAAGCACTGGCCAGCCAGCCTAGCTTCATCAGTCAGCCTCAGACCCCAGAGAAAAAGCCTGCCTTAGAAGACAAGTTTGGCGGTGGTCGGGAATGCTAGAAAACAACCCTGGGCCTTGCACCTGGACACATCTGGACAGGGCTGCACATATATCCAAAAAAGGGTTTTTGTTATTAAATAGGGCTTTATTTGCTAAAGTGTATTAGTGGAAGTCAGAGGACTTTTGGGAGCAGGTTCTCTCCCTTGCTGAGTTCCTAGGGTTAAACTCTGTCTACCAGCCGCATGACGAGCATTCTTTACCTCTGAGCCATCTCACAAGAATCAAAGAAAGTTTTTTTTTTAATTTTTTGTTTATGTTCATTGGTGTTTTGCCTGCATGTATATCTAGGAGAGGGTGTCAGAAACCCTGGAACTGGAGTTATAGACAGGTGTGTGTGAGCAGCCATGGAAATTGAATCAGGGTCCTCTGAAAGAGCAGCCAGTGCTCTTAACTACTGAGCCATCATCTCTCCAGCAGAACAAGGATTTGTTAAGTATAGAAATTAATGTCTTACTACAGGGGAACAAGCCTATTGGAGAGTCCACACAGCTGTCATCTGGGAAGCCTAACTCAGTGCTGACTTCATCAGTGGAGAAGGACTAGGGTAAAGAGCACCACCATGAAGCAAGGACTGCCTGTCAATGGGTCTTGGCCCACCCCTTCCCAATCTGGTCCACCCCCTTCCGAATCTAGCCCCTGAGCTCTGGGTGAGTGGGCTTCCTTCTAGGACGCCCTGCCTTGCTTCCTACCTGGTCTTGAACAGAGATGCTGTGAGATTGGGAGTGCACACAGGGTTAACAGATGGCTGGGTCCATAATGCTGGCCCCTTCACAATGGTTACCAGGCAACAGGTCTCTTTTCAGGGAAGAGGTGGACACAGAAAGGCCTGAACCAGCAAAGGCGGAGTCAAAGCAAAATGACAGCTACTCAGAAACACAACCTCTTCACTCCAGAACCCCACTACATCCCTGGGTAAGAGCTGGGAGCTTTACAGAGAGGGGCAGGGGCTGGGGAAGAGGGCTGAGCAGTAGGGCTGGGGTTTAGCCTGGACTCCAGGAGGCTGAGGACCAATGCTGAAGAGACCCAAAGCCAGGGTTACCAATGAGTGGAATCGAGACCACCAGGGCTGAAGAGCTCTAGGACGAGAAAACTCTGAGGTGGAGCTGCAGATGAAGGCCGAGGCCTTGCTTTCCCTGTGTGTAGTACTGAATGCAGTACTAGGTGGCCAGTTTGTCTTTCAAGACCAATCTGGCAGCGACTGGATGAGCAAATGCTGGACTTCCTCTCCGTAGTGAGGTGATGTAGAGATGGAGTAAGAGTAGTCCAGTTAAAAACAAAAACAGACAAGGTATTGCCCAGAGGAAGGGTGCCTGGCATGCATATGCAAAGTCCCGGATCTGATCTCCAGCACTGCAAAATAAATAATAAAAACCTCCAAAGAAAGTGTGTGTGCATACCTCCCCAGACCCAAGTGCAACATGGGACATAAAATAGGGAAAAAAAACTGAAGGACCTATACTGCCTTTCAACACTGATCACTGCTGGATGCATCAGTGGGGTGAGGGAGATTGTTGAGAATGGCTGGGCGCCAGGCTGGAGAGACGGCTCTACGGTTAAGAGCAATTGCTGGTTCAGTTCTCGGCATCCACATGGTAGCTTCCCAACAACCCATAACTACAGTTCCAGGGCATCCACCACCCTCTTCTGACTTCCACAGGCACTAGACACACATGTGGTCCACAGACATACACGCAGGCAAAGCACGTATACACATGAATGAGAGACTTGCTGGGTGTAAGGGTTCACTGTGAACAACAATCAGATAGCAGTGATGGAAGTGCAGACCTGGCGCCTCGTCAGACTTGACTGCCCGGAGCCCTAGGCTGCTTCCATTACCTTCATCTAAGTGAGCAGAGATCAGGAGACCAGGAGTGGCACCTCCCCTGCTTCTCTCCACAGCTATGCTGGTTTCTATCCTCAACTGCGCTACCAGGTGGGGAACACCTATGGCCGCACCACGGCGCAGTTGCTCACCGATCCCAGCATACAGAAGAGCCCCTGCTCTGTTCTGTCACCTATGTCCAAGCCCAAGTTCATCGAGGACTTCAGTAAATCTAAGCCACCGTGGATTCCCTGCAGGGACCTGACAACGCCTTACATCCCCCACTATACCAGTGAGCTTCAGGTCCAGGGTGGGGCCCCATCCAGCCCTGACTCCACTGGGGCTCCACCCTCCTTCCTATATGGCTCAAAAGCTGCCCTGTTTGCACAGGTTTGAAACCCTACAAGAACTTTGAGATCCTGGGCCAGCCCCCACGCCAGGAGGTGGACACCCAGGGGCCACGACAGGTAGAGAACATATCCAGACAAGTTTCACTGCCTGCAGACTTCATGCCCTATCCTCCCTACCCACCATTCCCTCCAGGCAGAAAGGCGGAAGCTAGAGAACTGGGACATCCAGGTCTAATGTTGGCGTATGGGGAAGAAGCCTGGAAGAACGCGGCACCTATTCAGGAGAGCCCAGGGAGGTACCAGGTAAGTGGAGACACTCTTACCTCTGGGTCCTCTGTCTCCAACACACACTGGGGTGCAAACTGTGTAATTTGCACTTCCCTGTTCCAGCTTTACCACTACAGGAGGGATGAGTACCTGCCCTCACATCCCCCGCAGGAGACACTAGATGTGGGAAGGTACCAGCGACTACCCCAGCTGGACCACCCCAACCTAATCCAACGCAAGGCCATCTCAGGTATGTGCTGGGTGCCTGAGCTCTTCCCTGTGAGGTTCCAAGGGGCCAGAGGAGAAGGTGAGAATAACAGGGTTTGCCCCCTGGGCTCCTTTCCACCCCGAGAACAGGGTTTGGTCTCACTTAATTCTTTTTACCTTGACCCAGCCTAGCTGCTCCCATGTGGAGCTAAGTTTGGCCCCAAGAGTCAGCAACCAACCTTTAGGGATGGATGGAAGGGCACAACAGCTAATGTTCAGTCTGGCACACCTGGGAGAATGTAGATTATGCCCGGAAGGCAGCCAGGGAAGAACCCTGACATCCAACCATCTCCAGGCTATGCTGGCTTTGTCCCCCGGTTTGCCTGGGTGATGGGGATGAATTATCGTGATGGAGTCACACAAGCTATGGATGAGTTTGACAAGAACCAGGTAGGAAAACATGGGTCTACCTGAGGTGGCTCAGCTAAGTTCTGCTTCTACTCCCATCTGTAAGCATCCATTCCCGGGGGTCATCCTTAAGGCCCTTTGTTCAGGCTTGGGGCCTGAACACATCCTAACAAGGTCTGATTCCCTACCTGGTAAGGGGGGTTTGGGTGGTCAGTCAGATGGGTCACCAGTGTGGGAGACAGGACCTGTCAGCTCGTATCCATTTCCTCCAGTTTACGTTCAGACACCCAGTCTGTGCTCTGGGTGAAAGGCTGCCCAGGAGCCACTGGCCAAACACCACCATCTACCGGAACCAAGGCCTGATTCCTTTCTACATGGGCTTCATCCCATGTGAGTACATTCCCAGCCCGAGACCCAATACCCACTTCAGAAGGACACTGAACCTATGACAGGGTCAGACAGCTGGGGGTCCTGTGTCACCTGCCACATTTGCTGATAACCAGCCGTTGGCCTACTGACCAGAGTCCTAGTTTTGTCTTGGATTAACTACCCAGTCAGTCTGGGGCCCCCGGTCCTTCTCGTTAAAACCCCCAAGGCCAATAAGGTCCCCTCCGTGCCGATTTAAGAGGGTACCCACAGGATGTAGAGAAGCCGCTGTTCAGAGCCTGTACTGACCTCTCTCCACCGCGCTGGACTTTTTCCCTTGCAGCCATGCAGGACAACTACGCACTGACTTTTGGTAACAGCACCCGAAAAGCCTATCAGAAGGAAATGGAGAGGCGAAGCCACACACTATGAATTTCTTTAATGGTGGTATCTGTACAAATGATGTCAGGACAGAACAGCAAATGCACAGTGGACATGGCTAGCAGACAGATGTGAATGAATAAAGAGTTCACACTGCTCCCATGCTGTAGCTGCTTCCCACAGCTCTAGGCCACCTCCTCCTCAGCCTCCTCCTCAAACTCGCCCTCCTCCTCAGCTGTGGCGTCCTGGTACTGCTGGTACTCAGACACCAGGTCGTTCATGTTGCTCTCAGCCTCGGTGAACTCCATCTCATCCATGCCCTCACCCGTGTACCAGTGCAGGAAGGCCTTGCGTCGGAACATGGCTGTGAACTGCTCGGAGATGCGCTTGAACAGCTCCTGGATGGCAGTGCTATTGCCGATGAAGGTGGCGGACATTTTTAGACCCCGAGGTGGAATGTCGCAGACAGCTGTTTTCACGTTGTTGGGGATCCACTCAACAAAGTAGCTGCTGTTCTTGTTCTGGACGTTAAGCATCTGTTCGTCCACCTCCTTCATAGACATGCGGCCCCTGAAGACAGCAGCCACCGTCAAGTAGCGCCCATGGCGGGGATCACAGGCGGCCATCATGTTCTTGGCATCGAACATCTGCTGAGTGAGCTCAGGAACTGTCAGGGCCCGGTACTGCTGGCTGCCCCGGCTGGTCAAGGGGGCAAAGCCAGGCATGAAGAAGTGCAGGCGTGGGAAGGGCACCATATTCACAGCCAGCTTCCGTAGGTCAGCATTTAGCTGGCCAGGGAATCGCAGGCAAGTGGTGACCCCACTCATGGTGGCGGACACTAGATGGTTCAGGTCACCGTAAGTAGGTGTGGTCAGCTTTAGGGTTCTGAAACAGATGTCATAGAGTGCTTCGTTATCAATGCAATAGGTCTCATCAGTGTTTTCAACGAGCTGGTGCACTGAAAGGGTGGCATTGTAAGGCTCAACCACTGTGTCCGACACCTTGGGGGAAGGGACCACACTGAAGGTGTTCATGATTCTGTCCGGGTACTCCTCCCGGATCTTGCTGATAAGGAGGGTACCCATCCCAGAACCAGTCCCCCCGCCCAGGGAGTGGGTCAGCTGGAAGCCCTGCAGGCAATCACAGCTCTCGGCTTCCTTTCTCACAACGTCCAACACAGAGTCAACCAGCTCTGCGCCTTCTGTGTAGTGCCCCTTGGCCCAGTTGTTCCCAGCCCCACTCTGACCTGTAAAAGAAAACAACTGGTCACTAACTAGGTATGTGCACAAGAAGCCAAACAGTGTGAGATTGTCACCTCTAAAATAAAGTGACACCACAGCAACCTACCGCGTAAAAAAATAAATAAGAAGGTGAAAACCAGAGGTAAGACAGTAAGACAGTAAACACTCTCCCGGGCAGCTCTGCCAATCTTCAAGGGCAGCACAGGGACCCCGGCCACCAGGTAAGGTTTGCTCACAGCAACTAGCCTACTGGCAGACGGACCTTTCCCCCAAAGCTGCTTTCGACCAAGGGATTGAGTAACTCAGAAAGCAGGAAAGTGTTACACCTGGGCAGCTAGTCAGCAGAGAGTTTTAGGTCAGCCCCTTGACCTTTGAGCGTCAGGGTTGGCAAGCTCCGCCCATACCCCCCGCCGCACTCACCGAAGACGAAGTTATCAGGTCTGAAGATCTGCCCGAAGGGCCCGGAGCGCACCGAGTCCATGGTGCCGGGCTCCAAGTCCACGAGCACGGCACGGGGCACATACTTGCCACCTGGTGGGAAAGGGGATCGTCAAGCGTGGTCAAACCGGAGGAGTGATCGGGAGGACGGACGGGGCAGAAGTCTTACCGGTGGCCTCGTTGTAGTACACGTTGATACGCTCCAGCTGGAGGTCGCTATCTCCGTGGTACGTGCCGGTGGGATCAATGCCATGCTCGTCGCTGATCACCTCCCAGAACTGCAAGGGACTCGGGCGTTAGCTGAGTCACGGCGGCCGGTGCGCTCCAAGGCAGCCCCGCCCCGGATGGGTGCGGCAGGCCCTTCCCCCCCCCCCTCCACCCCACCCCCGTCTCCAAAGTGCCCCGGCGACCGGTCCCTAGGGCCGCGCACGGCCCGCCCCCACCGCCCCCACCCACCAGCTCCACGTCCCGGCCCGGAGTACGCCGGTAACCAGGAGGCAGTGAGGGTGCCGCCGCCTCCGCCATCTTCCCCGGCTGACCGTACCGCAGGCGGCCGTCCCTGCTGAACCCTAGCCGCCTACCTTGGCGCCAATCTGGTTACCGCACTGCCCAGCCTGCAGGTGCACGATCTCCCTCATGGCGGCGGCGACTGCGGAGCGACTGCAGAGCACGAACAAGCAGGGAGGAGCAGGCGCACAGAGTGCTACAACCGACGCTCTACCAGCATTTATATACCCCTCATAGCCCGCCTTCGCCAGCCTAGGATTGGGCTCCCAGAACGAGGCCAAGAAGCACCCTTGTATGATTGGTTATTTTTCCGTCAATCGAGTGGTCTAGGGCCCGCCTTCCCAACGATATACGCTCGTTATTGGTCAGTCCTGACTAGGGTTCTCCCTATCACAATCCCCGCCCTGGCGCCGCAGTGCTCAACTCATTGGGTGTTTCAAATGATTGATTTGCAGTCCCATTGGCTGCCTCCTGGGAGCACGCCGAAAGCCTGACACTAATGGCTGCGCTGGGTTGGCGTCCTGGTAACCGCCGCAGTGCAGCGCGCGGGCGGGACGTGGAAAGCAAGCTTCCGCCCGAGAGGGCGGGGGCGTCTCCTTAGAGTTTTGTGGGCTCGGTTTGGTTTGAGAATCCGGGTGCTGCTACTGGGGAGAGAAAGGGCCCAAGGCATTGCGATCCGGGACACATTGCGGTCCAACTTTGGGACTTTGAAGATGAGGCGGATTGCAGCCGTGAAACAGCAACAATAATAGGATCCGGTGGAGGCGCTTGGGTCCTCCCGGACGCACTGGGCAGGCGCGGGGTCTGTTTGTTCCCGGGAGAGCCCTCCCTCCGCCCCTTCGGCTCCGCTCCGTGTTGTGGAAACCAGTTGGCCTGGAGCCTGTCTCCTTGGAGACCTCGCTCCAAGTGCACGCACAGCTACATGGAGACTGCAGGGCCAGGCATGCCTGGCCATGACTCTGTGAGAGGGAAAAACAAACAAACAAACGGACAGAAGTAAAATTAAGTTCCTGCCCTGTAATGAATCGCTTAGAGAACAATACATTTATATATTTCAGTAAGTTTTTTTTTTCTTCCTGATGTGTCAGGTTCAAAGCATCCCCTACCCTCAAAATGGCAGTGCTGACATTTTCCTAAACAGAAGGACTTGGCCAGGTAAACAAGCCTAAAAGAAAAGTAGATCTCTTAAGGTGTTCTTTTGGTTCACGAGGAACTACCTCCCTTCACCTTCTCCCCCAAAATCAACTGTGTCATGGGCGGTAGTTGTGAAACAATTCTTTCCTGCCATTTGCTCTTTTCCCCCTCACCCACAAAGGCCTTGGCAGTTTGATCCCCAATAAATCTTTCTGCCCACGGAGCAGACTAGTTCAGTTGTTCTCTGTGCCGTCGTTTATACAAGGCGGGGTCTTTTAACCTGTAACCTGGAATACAACTCAAAGAAATTCTGCCTTAGCCTCCAGAAGGCAAGAATTCACAGGCCTTCCCATGCCTGGCTTTGTAACTTTTTTTTTTTTTTAAAGGAATGTTACAACTATGGCTCTGTCCCAGTCCAGCTACTAGGCTTCTGTAGGTCTAGCTTTTGGTATGAATGACCTTCAAAACTAAGTGTGTTAGGCAATCCCTATGACCAACAATGTCACAGGGAAAAATCACCAGGACAAGCAGAATCCTATATCTTATTGGTCATATTTACCGTTCTAACCAGTATGCTAGTCTCTAGTAAAGACCCGATTGTCCTGTCTCCTCTCCAAAAGGGTAGTTCAGAAAGGGGGACATGGGTTCTGTTGATCACATGCGTTCAGGAGGGCTACACGTGTGTTGTCAGGGACCAGCTTCGAAGAACTTCATTCCAGGGTAGGAGCGTGGGTATTAGAATTATAAGCGCCAGACAGGGGTGGTGCACACCTTTAATCCCAGCACTGGGGAGGCAGAGGCAGTTGGATCTCTGTGAGCTCGAGGCCAGCCTGGTCTATAAGAGCTAGTTCCAGAGCCAGGCAGTGGGGGTTGCATGTCTTTAATCTCAGCACTTGGGGAGGCAGAGAGGCTTTCAGACCTCTGGGAGTTCAAGGTTAGTTTGGTCTACAGGAGCTAGTTCCAGGACAGGCTCCAAAGCTACAGAGAAACCCTATCTTGAAAAACCAAAAAAAAAAAAAAAAAAAAAAAAAAAAAAAAAAAAAAAAAAAAAGAAAAAAATATTAAGCAAAAGGAACAGAGATATGAGAGAAATAAAAGGCAGAAAGAACACTGGACTACCACAGTTATTTCCACACGTACCCAAAAGAGGAGGGGGCGGAGCCAATAGACTTCATTAACACGACATAAGGAATAGCCGAGTTCTCCAACCGTTGGTCCAGGTGGAGTGGATCCTTCTCTTTACCCAAAATACTAATTAACCACACCCTAGGTCAGGATCTCTTGTTTGTAGCCACACCTGTTGTCAACAACTTTGAAAGAGCAAAAATAAACTCAAGCTTTGACCTTAGTCAAGGTGGAACAGGCTCCCATCTGTGGACCCCCACAGTGTGTGAGGTGCACCAAGTCACTTTGGGGCATGCTCAGAGTTATTGCAATGCCCGGAGTATCTTCTGAGTTGACTCATCCTTGCAGAATAGCTTGGCTGCCAAGCAGCAGACATAACCACTAGAATCTCAAAGCCAGAACATTCATATCCATGAACGAAGCAGAAGTTGTGAGTTTTAACACAAAGAGCTGCCAGGGCTTCTCTTGGAGATGTTTGGGTCCCCAGTTGGGCAATAGGTATGAATAACCGAGCAAAAGACCACGGCTTTTGAGCATAAGTCCAGCAAGGACAGTGGCTGCCCACAGCTGGTAAGGGGAGATTCTGGAGATTTTCACCATGAACCAAGAGTGCCCCTGTGCTGGTGAGAAAGAAGACCCCGTAGGACAAGAACGCCTGGAGCCTATAGCCCGAAAGGATGTGCACTGAGCCGGCAAGAAGAGCAGGGAAGCAAGCAGAATGTTCTGTGGGAGCATTGGGTGCCTGCCCTCCCTCCCCAGCCTGCAGCTGTTGGAGGCTGCACAAGGAAGGCTCTGTTTACTGGTGGCCATGGTCCCAGTGGGAGGGTGCATTACTGTCAGGCAGGAGCAGCAGGCAGACAGTCTTTGCGGCCTGAAAGGACCCTGTGGTCAGCTTTTGTGGAAGGCCTTTCCTCACCCCGGAAGGAGAGGTGCCAAGGTGCTTCCCCTGCGGACTAGGCCTCACTGACTCCCTCAGTGGGTCTTCCAGGGAAGCAGGGAACATCAGAGAACACCGGGAGGCTGGGTGAAAGCACCCTGCAATCAATCAGTCAATCACAGGGGTGGGGGAAGTAAGGCAGCAGTGCACAGACCTCGCTCTGTCTTTGCTGGAGTTCATCTCTGCAAGTCCTTGGCTCGCAGAGCAGACAGTCAATCCTCTTGGTAGACAGAATGACTTCCAGGCGTAGGAAGCCTAGGAGCTGGGGTAAGGGGTAGCACAGAACTTGGGTGACAATAAAGGCTATGGGTAAAGGGGGCCTGGGCTGTTCTGAGGGACAGAAAGGACCACAGAGACACCCACAGTGTGTGTGGAGGATCGAAGGGAATCAGAAAATGCAAAGGGGGCTGGACAGGTGGTTCAGCAGTTAAGAGTGCTTGTTGCTCTTGCAGAGGGCTCAGGTTTTTATCTCAGTACCCACATGGTGGTTTACAACCATCCATCCATCCATCCATCCATCCATCCATCCAGGCGATCCGGCACCTTCTGACCTCCAGTGGCACTAGGCTCAAGCAGTGCACATACATCCATACATACAGCCCCCAAACCAAAACAACAACAAAAACACGCATATAAAATATGTAAATCTAAATAAATGTAAAAAAAAAAAAAAAAGGAGAGAGAGGATAGGACCTTAGGGGCTCTCCAGGTTTTATCTCCCTAAAGGCTATACCCAATGACCCACAGTGTCTGGCTAGGCAAATCTGGAGGTGTGGGGGAGGGGTGCTGGGAAAGGGTTTGGGCCAAGAAAATTCACACAGGTATGTTCTGTGGGCCACATGTGGGCAAAGGTAGCTACACAGTAGACAGCTCAACCTGGGGGGCTTAAGACTCAAGGGTTTTTCTTTGTTGTAACTCACTCGCACAGTTCCGGATCATGAGCTTTGCCGATGACAATCTCGTGTCTCAATATCAAAAGGCTGGACATGCCCGAAAGCAGTAATGGACAGACCGGAAGGTATCCCTGTCCAGCCCAGGGTCAGCTCTTCTGTGGGTCTGATGGCTATAGCCTAGCGCCTGAGTTTTGGGTGGCTTTTTTGGTAGTACCGTGTGCGGTGGGCGGGGGTGAGCAGCCTCAAGCTGCAGGAAACGGTAAGAGGCCTCTGCCTTTTCTCTGGTATCCAGTTACCTTTTGGCTGTAGGACAAGCTTTCCTGTTAGAAAACCAGACCGCTCGCGGGAGGCACGGCCGGGGGAAGGAGCCCTCACCATCCTCTCCCAGGGCCTTTCTTAGGCGCTCAGGTGAAGAAAATGGTGTCTAGCCCTTATATCCTTTCACCTAGATGAGCAAGTCCTAGCAGGTTTCCTGGACAAGTTTGGGCACCAAGGTAGCAGAGGTAGGGTGCTGTTTAGGATCCTGGCAGGAGGAAGGGTGCCCCCTGGTGGCTAAGGAGACCATGCCTGACCGAGCTTGCCGGCAGGACGCAAACCTATCCTCTTGAACAACTCGGTAACCGTCATATACTCTATGGCAGCTCCCTCCACCCACGCCTGGCAGATCTCAGGTCCCCCTCTCGACGTGAACTTGGGCTCTCTGCCCAGCCCAGCCTTCCCAGACATTGCCCCCCAGCCCGAAGGCCTGTAAACCGGCTGCCACCAACCACCACAGAAATAAACAAGCAGGGGCCTCAGGGGAACCCTAATCACGAGTCTCCGCTAGGGGCAGCATGGCGCTGCTTGTCCACCTTGAGATAGGTACGTCCTCAGGCTGCCTTATCTGGGAGAGAAGGTCGACACTCCTTGGTACTAGCGCCGTTTATTTGCAGAGAATGGCACGCAGCAGTCTAGGAAGTCCACGAGAAGTCCTTCCCCTCCTCCCCAGGAAGACCGGCAGGCAGTCTCCCCAGCCTCCAGTGCCCTGAAGTTGGTGGAGCTGGGGAGATGGTCCACGGCCCCAACTTTTCACAACTGTTGGGAAGCTATGACCTCTGGGTTCTCATAGCAGTGAGCGACTTTGCTGGTCATTTTGGAGTTGCTGCAAGCACTGCAGGGGCAGCACCCAGTCACTAGGCGGTCCCAAGGCTCCAGAGAATGGAGCCAGAGAGGCAGCCAGGCCCAAGATCGAAGACAGGGAGGCAGCCAAGATGGCCGGTGTTTCTGCAGGACATTAATCAGCACGATAAGGAGCACCAGCCCCACCAGAGGGCCTCCCACTGCAGCCAGCACTGAGCCCCCTGCCAGGGAAAGTCCGAAGGCTGCCAGGGGCAGCAGCAGGAAAGAGAATAGTAGGTAGACAATGGCTACCCAGCGGTACTGGGCAGTCAGGTCACCAAAGCGCTTGGCCAGTGGAATGGGTAGTCTCAGGACAGGCACCAGGTACCACAGCAGTATGCCAGCCAGGTTGAAGAAGAAGTGGATGAGAGCAACCTGGTAAGCAGGAAGGGCAAAAAGGGGTGAGGAGCTTGGACCAGATGATGTGGGTCACCAGGGCCTTTTTAGAAAGGATGACTTTTGCCAGGTGGTGGTGGCACACGCCTTTAATCCCAGCACTCGGGAGGCAGAGGTAGGTAGGCAGATCTCTGTGAGTTTGAGGCCAGCCTGGTTTACAGAGAGAGTTCCAGGACAGGACAGGACCACACAACACACACACACACACACACACACACACACACACACACACACACACACCCAATCAAACAAAAAGAAATCATGCCTTTCCCTGCTCTGCCCAAGTCTGAGGCTTCTCTGTAGTGTCCTCTGAGTGGTTCAGAGAGGCCACTTAGGATGGCAGGATCCAGCCAGAGCAGACTCATGTTCGCCCTACAACTTCTCCCCCACATTTTAGGAGACAGGGGCCTATGCCTGCACAGCGTGTGGTGACATATCCCTCTGCTGTCGGAGACGAAGCGGGGTAGGGTGGACAGGGAATGCAACACACGGCCTTTCTGTGAGTGAGCACAATCCAGAGGCCTGGGAGAGGATGGTTCAGGGTCAGGAGTATCTGAGCGGCAAAGACAGACGATACAGAGGCAAAGATGCAGGTGGCAAGGTTCGGGTTTTTCCCAGGAGCAGCAGCTACTGCCAGCCAAGATTTCAGAACCTGATCCTGCCCTAGGCAGAGGGAAGTTAGAGCCAGAGCAGTGGACCAAAGATTAGGCGATTTAGAGAGTCAGAGCTCAAATAGGCCTAAGAGTGAGGCACGGAGCTGTGAGATTTGGGGTTGGAGGAGACAACTTAGAGGCAGAAACATGTCTCGGCTTAGGTGGCATGATGTGGTTAGCAAAGGTGCCCAGGTGAGCAGGCATCCCCAGGATGGGCTCTGGGAAGACACCACACTCCTTAGCTAGTGACCTCGGTACATGGAGGAACACAGTGAGGAGTCCAGGAAGGAGGCAGCAGAGGAGCAGTGATCCTTCAAGGGAAGCTGGGGACAGATAGAGATAAAAAGATAGAGGGACAAAGAGCAGGGGATGACCACAGGTTATTCCAGGAAAGTCGTCCTGGAAAGGAAGAACCAGAACCGAGGTAGGGCTGCGAGGTGCCCACAGTGTCCCCCTGGATCTGGGGCTGCAGGGCTGTGGTTGGAGCCTGAGGAGCCCAAGGAGAGCTGCCGTGCTGGGAACAGGGAAACGATGGCGGGCAGTACCTGGACTGCGAAGAGCAGCATGTCTGCAGGGCTGGCCAGGGCCGCCAGCAGGGCTGTGGTGGTGGTGCCAATGTTGGAGCCCACGAAGAGGGGGTAGGCCCGTTCCAGGTTGATTATCCCAACCCCTGGAGAAATGCAGGGTCACTAGGGGCTCCAGCCCGGCTCCCCCAACCCCAAACCCATCGCCCGCTTTGGCTTACCCATGAGAGGCACGATGGCGGCCGTGAATACACTGCTGCTTTGCAGCAAGAAAGTTAAGCCTGCACCAACAAGGACGGCCAAGTAGCCGCTGAGCCAGCCAAAGGGGAAGGGGAAATCTGCAGGCGTGTAGGGTGAAGGCTGTAGGGTCATTCTTAACTCCCCGCCTTACCCTCCATCCCAGGTCCAGGGCCTCCACACACCTCACCTACCCGCATTGATGACCGTTTTCACAGCCTGGGCGATGCGGCCCTGCAGTACAGAGTTGAGCAGCTTAACGATGAGGACCAGACAGGTACAGAGCACCAGCAGAGAGCCCGCCAGCAGGATGAAGCCCACGGCCAGATCCGTGAGCCCCGTGCCCACAAACAGGTGATGGCCTGCGGCGGGGCGGGGTGATGAGTGGGAGGGAGTCAGAGCAGGGCAGGGGGCGGGACCAGGGCAGGGGGCAGGACCAGGGCAGGGGGAGGACCAGGGCAAGGGGCAGGACCAGGGCAAGGGGGAGGACCAGGGCAGGGGGAGGACCAGGGCAGGGGGAGGACCGGCGCAGGTACTCACAGGGCACTCTGTTCTCAGGAGCCGCTGTGCCATTCTCCCTGCAGGGGTGGAAGCCGCCGCACTCCTCGTTGCTCCCCTGGGACTGAGGGATGGGGAGGACTCAGGTCGGGCTCACAGCAGGCAGACAGAGGTTAAAAGGCTCAAGATCAAGCGGGCAGGATGATTTGGCAGGTCAGAGATCAAAAGAGGGAGGGATGGGGTCAGAGGCACCTCACCGGTGGTTTCCCCTGGACGTCACACCATTGTTTAATCAGGCTGCCGTTGGTGGTGTTGCCCGTAGCACTGCTGGTAATCATGCCGGTATCCAGCTGGTAGACAGAGGGGGCATGATTATGCATCTGGCACTCCTCCCCTCAGCCTATTCCAAGCCTAAACCCTCTTCTTGTCCCCTTCCAGGACAGGGCTTCTGCCTCCTGCTCCTCATCAGCCAGGCGCAGGTACCTTCCTATGGTACATCTGTCCTCACCTGGATGATGAGGTGTGTGAAAGGCTGCGTCAGTGCCTTGAGGATATCGGGGGCCTGCCTCCCTGGCTGGAGGCTAGCAGCACCCAGGGCCAGTCCACTCAGCCTCTCTAATGCTGCCGTGGCGCTCTCCAGTGGCAGCAATACCAACACTGTGAGCCAGTTGAAGATGCCATGCACAGCCGAGCCGCTGAAAGCCCTGCAGTCACACAGGGCAGGCTGGCTGTCTGAGCAGCCTCTACTGAGGCCAGTACAGACCCAGCCTGGCCCTTCGGCCCTGACTCACCTCTGGAACTCCTCCCGGTCCCCTGACTGCGCCATCGAGACCAGGGTGCTGGTGATGGAAGTGCCCACGTTGACGCCCATGATGATAGGCACAGACATCTGGACAGTCAGCACTGTAGGGGTGCCATTTCAGCAGCCCTGCCTGTTCGCCAACCCACCCACCACTGCCCTGGGAAAAGGGAGGTGTACTCACACTTAGAGGCCACCATGCTAACCACGATAGAGGAAGATGTACTGGAGCTCTGTACGAGGACTGTGACCAGCACACCAATGACCAAGCCAGCCACGGGGTTGGACAGCACCACATTGTCCTTGAAAATGTCTCCGGCCATTCTGCCTAATCCCCACAGAGAGATGCACTGAGGCTGCCGAGGGCTGCCTGCTGTCCAGTCCCTGTCCCCGTCCTGCGTCCTGCCTGGTCACTCACTGCCTAGCAGCTGGAAGGCGGAGCCAAGGATGTCCAGGGAGCAGATGAAGAAGTAGAGGTTTCCCAGGAGTCCACACGCCTTGAGGAAGCCGATGACCACCCCGTGAAGCCTGCTGGCTGTGCTGACCTCTAGAGACACCAGAGAGAGCTTATTTGACCAGCTGGCTACTCCCCAGCTACAGCACCACCCCACCCCCACATTTTGTTCCCTGTGAAGAGGGGCCATATTTCCTGTCACCTCTCGGACAGAACACAGGATACCCTTCTGTCTCATTGAGCGGGAACCCGTGTCCTCTGGTGCTCACCAGGGCAGAGACTATGTCCCCCTCCTTTGTCCTCCCTTGTTCCTTTGCCTTGTGAATAAACCCATGACCTTGGAGGGGGAGTCCCGGAACTGAAGCCATCAGCAGGGAATAAAAGGAAGACCTGAGGCTGGGAGGGGAGTTTTCACCCCATCTTAAGCAGATGAAGGTGGTTTTCTATGAGGTGTATTCCACCAAGTCCCAGCCTATACTCTGCTAAGAAACGGGAAGCCAGGGGCCTGTCTGCGCGCTGTCTCATCATCTGCAAACCTACCTTTCAGTTTGTCAGCGTTCTTCTGCTGAGGGAAGGCCCAGGGGTCTGTGCCTCCCTCCTCCAAGCCTGGGATAGAACTGGAGGTCCCTGCAGGGGTCAAGTCAGGCAGGGCTGTTTGTAGAACCCCTCTCCAAGGAGGAGGACCAAAGGAAACCAGAGGTGGAAGGAAGGGGCTGGGGCACAAGGGGCCACGGATGAGGTCCAGAAGCAGCGAAGGGAAGAGTTTCAGTGAGTCTGGCTCAGGCCAGGGGTGTGAGGAGACCCAAGAACTCTTCAAGCGGGCAGCTAGAGAACCCTCATTTTGCTTAGTGTAGCTGTTCAAGGGGCGCCTGATACCTGCATTTCTCAGATTCCGGTCCACCAGGTCAATGGCATCCAAAGTGGGGTTGGGGAACTGGCCACCAGCGAGGGAATTCGGCATCGATTTCAAGCAAAGAGACCCAGGCCCAATCCTGGATTTGCTAAGGGCAAAGCAGGTAAGAGCTGGTGGTTCCTCCTACTCCGCCTCTATCCCACCCAGCAGTCTAACATCAGGCCCCTGACCTGAACCTTCGGCCGCAGCCCCGTGCCTTGCAGGTCTTGGTGGCTCTCCCTTTCCTCTGACCACAGACAGATGGCTACTGTGACCTCAGGTGATTGTCAGGCGAGCCCGGTTTAGCTTCAGGGGGCAGGAGACAGGGGCCACGGGATCCCAGGCTCCCTCACTAGTCTTGGCTGAAAGAAGGTTTGGCAGTTGACTGAGGGCACAGGGTTCTCGGGCACTACCTGGAAGTAGCCGGTAGCTCGAGAACCCTGGGATTTCTCCTATCAAGTGTCAATGAGGACACTCCAGATGGTCCCAGCTTAGACTTTGGTATTTGATACCAAACAGGTGACGTACTTGCTTGATAAGAGCCCCGCCCCACCCCACCCTCAACTTAGGAGCAGGGCTTCGGAACCCCCTGCCCATACCAGATCCCTTCTATCTGTTCTGGCCCCATGCGGCTTCTGGGTCTGGAATTCTTTGCATCCTAGTCTACCCTGACCCCTCCCCCAGTTCTTGGGCCCAGGCCCAGGGGTCCTTTGTGTGCCCTCCCTTTGGCCTGGTCCTAGGCTCTTCTCACTTGCTCTAAGGTCCTAAAGGGTTTCAAAATGGTGCCCAAACCCTGAACCTGGCTGGTGGTCACTCAGCTCTCGTCCAGTGTCCATTAGCTTGGTCTAGCTCTGGGAGCTCCTACCTGCATGTGTGGTGAGGGGCACCAGCGGGGAGGAGGCTCAGCGGGAGCAGTTGCAGGTCAAAGATCTGCCCAGTGTGCACATGACCTGCTGTGTGTGGAGCCCCATTAATGTTTACCCAGGAGCTGGGGCCCCCAAGGGGAGACCCTGCCTGGCCCCGAGGCCTTATTCAGACCCTTGTCATCCTAAGGCTAGGAGTTCTGGGCCCCCAGCCCAACTCTCTTGGGGTGGCACTTCTCCGAGGGATGGGCAACAGTTGGCCAGGAGCATAATAGAGCTAGACACAGCAGGCAGCCACCAGTAGGCATCGGATACATTTAATGGACACTCTACAGCACCCAGGCAGGACACGCTCATTCTAGCTACGACTGCCTAAGGACCCCAGGAGAACATTGCCCTCCTCTTTCTCTGTTCCTCTGTGTTCTACAAACCTTATCATGATTGTCTGTGCACCTGACAGAGACAAAAGGGAAGCCCTTTGCACCAGGTGGGTGTGGAAAACGGATTTCCTCAGGTGGCCTGAGAAGACCCAGGCCTCCAGGTCAGCAGATTCAAATCTGAGGTTAAGGGTGGGGCTAGATCCAGAAGGGCTTTCAGTGGAGGCCGGTGGAGAGGGGGGCGCGGGACATTGGTCTCTACCTGCAAAGATGGACGGGAGACGGTAAAGCCCTTCCCCATCCTACAGTGCTTATCACCTGAACCCTATCTGAATATCTTTTCCCAGATGAGTGTTGTTCTGTGCCCATGTGCATATGAAATGTCCCGGTCAGTCTTGTGGGTCAGTCCGTTTCCAGCCCCAGGATGGGGACTGGGCCCTCCCCTGCGAGCTATTTCCTTAGGGGCCCTGCAAGCTCCAGCACCCTGCTCTGCTTACTGCCCAGCGTTGTCCCTGGGCACCTGAGGGACTTTGCCCAGGGAACGAGTCTTCTCAACGTCTATTCAGCAAATTCCCTTTCCTCCCCATCCTACAACCGCTCCCCAGGAGGCCCCTCCCAGGGGCTCCTGAATACAGCTCCTTCCTAGAGGGATGGAGTGTTACTGCTTTGGCCTGGGGGTTGTCATTGTCAGTAAGCTGTAACCTCTAGTACCTAAAGAAGGTCTGGAGTTTTTTTGTTTGTTTGTTTGTTTTGTTTTTCGAGACAGGGTTTCTATGTAGCTTTGGGGCCTGTCCTGGAACTAGCTCTTGTAGACTAGGCTGGCCTCAAACTCACGGAGATCCACCTGTCTCTGCCTTCCGAGTGCTGGGATTAAAGACATGCGCCACCACCGCCCGGCTCAGGTCTGTGTTATTATAGTCACCAGAGGCAGGAGGAGGCTGGGAGTCTTAAACTAGGATGATGAGCTGTGAGACCTCAGGCTAGACCCCTTGTCAGAGCTGGCTCTCTATGGCAGCCTTCTTTGATGCCTGTCAAAGACGAAGCTTTGGCCTGTAGCAGATCCTCTCAGACAAGTACCTGGCTCATGGCAGGAGCCCGGTGACCACAGATGAAGAGATAAAACACATAGACTCCAGGAATAGAAGAGGTAACCTGCCCTCCCTCCTGGCTCATACCGCTGAATGTTTACAGAGAGGAAGGCCTGCTCTGAGGCCAGCCACTCATGGACAACCGTAGCCTGGCCCAGTCCAGGCCCCTGCACTCATCCCCACAGACTCTTAGGAGTCATTTTCCATGCTAGGTCCTGGGTTTACAGGTGACATAGACAGCAGAATGTTGGCTAGCCAAACAAAGTCTCAGGCTAGTTTGGGGTATGGGAATCCCCTATAGACTAGTTAAATGGAATGTCACCAGCCTATTGTGGAACCATGGTCACTGATTCTGACCTTAGGCTATGGCTTGAGATGTCCCTGGTCAGGGTGACACCACTCTGTTGTGGCATGTAGGACTATAAGGAGGAGGCCCTGCTCGCACGCTGTTCGGGCTGCGCTATGTATGGTCTGTGGCTCCGCGGCAGGGAAGCCACTAGCAGTTTTCTTTGTGCAGGTGGAGATAGCCAGAGTTTAGACCTCAGGGTTCCCCAAGGGATACCAGCACAGTCTTCCCCAGCCCCAGCAGCAGCATCCAGGCTGAGGAAAGTGGGGTTGGGGGCCCAAGGTGGGATAGAGTCCAGCCGGCTGCTGAGTGACGGTAGTGCCGACTTTGAGGGGGACCGAGGACCTGGGTTCTATTCTTGATGGTTCCCGTTCAGCTTTGACTGCCAAAAAGGCAGCTAAGTCCAGGTCCAACATGGTCACCCCTCCACGGGGCATAGGGGTACTTTGACGGCACTGTGGGCAGGGGATCCAGTGCTGCTCGTGGGCTGGCGTGTCCAGCCGCCGCATACATGCCTGGCAGAAGGTGTGGCCGCAGTAGAGGCGGCGAGGCAAGTGTATTGAGAGGTCATAGGCAGAGTAGCAGACGATGCAGTCATTCCGTGGGGCCGTCAGGGCTGCCCCTTCCTCCAAGGCTCGGGGGCCTTCAGGCTGCAGCATCCTAGGGAGAGTATGAGGGAACTAACAGGGCAACCGCACAAGTTACAGTTCACCTCTGCCCACCTATGTGATGTTTTGGTCCATGCTGGCCCCCAGAAAATGGAGGACAGTGACATGGGACGGTAAGTCCCTACACACCTGGAGGGAAGATGGTGCCTTTGGGCTAACACCAAGCCTGGGCCTTTCTCTTGTTGCTGTGGCCATTGGCTGAAACAGCATCCTATCCCACTGTTGAGACCCACCCCTTGCCTTTCCGAACCCCTGGCTTCTCTTACCTGCATCCACTCCACCAGAAAGATATTCCCAGCTAGAGGACTGCAGAAGGGGATGGGGACCTGGGACACTTCATGGCTCCCTCCCTGGGCTCGCATTACTGGCCACATAGGCAAGTGAGCAGGAGGCAGGTGGTGGCTGCATCAAGTGAGAGTGGGCTCCCCTTTCAGCCACAAAGCGCCTGCAACAGGATCTGCTGCTCCCTGCTCCCAGCACTGGGCAGGAGATAAGGTGAGCCAGCCCCCTGAAGGATGAACCTGCCCAGACCACTCCCCCCCTGTAACTCCCAGAGACCTGGCTTTGTCTTTCTCCACTCTAGGTATCTCCAGTTTTTGGCCTCCCCATTCTTGTACCCTTCTCCCAGGTCTCATCTGAGCACCCCTTGGTAATGTTTTCCACTTTGGCCTCCGCGCACATCACCTCCCAGGGAACCTACCCCCGCCCCCCATCAGCTCCATGGTAGGGTGCATCTTCTTGCTAATTTGGTCACTTCTCAGGATCACCTTCCTCCCCACCTAGACTAAGTCTATCCTGTGATGTCACAGGAAGTAGCCCGCCCATCAGGCCTGAGGTGTGATGATCACCCTCACACAACCATCATCCCAGAAGCCCCCACCACCCCACACCCATGCTAAGCATCTCCCAGTTGACCGCCTACCCCGACCCTCAGTCTCTACAACAGTCCAGGGAGACAGTTCAGGGAAGTGGGATCCCTGTTCCCTGTGATGAGGACTGGAGAGGAGACAGCACAGAATTAGGGAAACCCCTAATTCTGCACACAGGGTTGCTAGGACCCCTAAGACTGCACACAGGGTTGCTAGGGGGAAAAAAAAGCCTTCTTTACTCACTTTTACCCACCCACTTGGCAGTCTGCCTTTAAGACTGGTCAAACAGGTTCCTGTGTTGGCTCTCACTGGACCAGGACTAGAAGCTCAGAGAGGAGTCAGGGCAATGACCTATCTGCCCATTCCTGGAGACCTCTACACACAACACATCTGGCCTGCCCTCTTACATGACCTGCCTCTGCATCAGGGAAGGGCCGACTTCAGGAGGACTTGTTTGTCTTGTGAGGCCTGTGAGGCCAGGTCTTCTCCCTCTTCACGTGGCATTGCGGCTCTGCCCTGCCCAGGAAACACCAGGTTGCCCAGAGCTGGCTTCCTTGCACACTCCCTACCCTGGCATCTCAAACATGGCCCCCAGCAGGCATCTCACACTGCTTGGACAGGTAAGAAGAGAACACTCCCTTCAGCCCTGCCATGCCTCATCTTCAAGGCCTGGTACACATCACTTGAAATAGGTTAAACAGCAAAGCCTGGATAGTAGGGATTGTCTTTTGTGGGAAACCAGAAACATGCCCTGGCCAAGGGCGGGAGGTGACTCACATTGGGCAGGGCTGGGTTCTGGGCCCTGGATCTGAGCTCCCACTCCCTGAAACCTGCCAACGTCAGCCCCACCCACTAACAGCCCTCCAATCTGATCCTCCCCCAGAGTATTTTCTTGGGGTCCCCCACAGTGGTAAGTATGGTACCCTCCTACCTTGTGACACAGGATTAATCTTGTTTACTATCTCAGCTTTAGCCCTAAGGAGAACGAGGAACTGGCCCAGGGCAGTGGACATACTACCATCTACGAGCCCCTGGGTGGACTGAGACCTGCTAGGGCCCTAAATTATGGATGTCATGAGGCATCCAGTCCTGGAAGGTCCCACAGAGTCTGGGAATCTACCAGGGAGATTGTATTTGTGCATGTTGAGGGCACCCTCTCCCAAACAGACCCCTGGCTTTAAAAAAAAAAAATAGTCACTAGCACAATGCTCACCCTGCTTTATTGCCAAAGTCTTGCAAGAAGTGAAGGGTGTTCCTATTGCTGCCCAACATGGCTAGTGGCTGGGACCGTATCCCAGAGGGCACTTGCTGGGCCTTCCTGGTGGACAGGCTCCCCAGATGCCCATGACAATGGCTGCTCCTGATGTCCAGCACCACTTTGGCATTGAGCAGAGGCCCAGGACCCCCAGCCCTGGAGGTTGGATAGTCGGGCTAGGAGACAACACAGCAACAGCTGTGACAACGGCAGAATCGTGGGCAGTGGCAGCAAGAGCAGCAAGGCAGGCAGCAGCAGTGGTGGGCAATGTCATCGCCACGCCCCACAGGCGGCAGACCAGCATAAGTCAGTCCTGAGGGACGCTGCCCACCGCTGTTGTAGGGGTTGCAGGGGTTGTAGGTCTGTTGGCTCTGCTCAGGAGCTGTACCTTTGATGCCCTTGACACCCTTTGGCTCTGGGGCTTCAGTCGTTTTCGAGAGGCCCGCTGGCTCTGGGGCATAGGTTCCTGAGGGTAGAGGCTGAATTTCAGCGGAGGAAGATGAAGAAGGAACCTCCTCTAACTGCTGCCCCAGGTCAGACCTCAGGTGAGCCCGAGGGATGCTGATGGGGGTGTATGGATTCTTGACAACCATCTCATGGGGGTCCATGGCCCAGGCTGCAGAGGTGAGCAGAGACACATACATGGACTCAGGGAGGAGAAAACCTGCTAGAGAGCCTATAGCCCAAGAAGACACCCATTCCGGAGGAATCTGCCTTGTGACAAGCCTTATCAATTAGCATCTGCATGCAGATGTGGGCACATCAGGATCTATGCAAGGCCTACGTGTCTTTGGAGGTAGGCCCAAGTACCCAGTTGCCACCCTCCACCAAGTGTCCAAGAGATGCTCCTGGATGCAGCTGGGAATGGGGATAAAAAGCTAGGAGATGCTGGTGAGCTGGTCTAAGGGAGAGCAGTGTCTGTCCAGGGGGTACCTCTAAGTACAGGTCAGCCCCTGGGCGAGGACTCACCTGCAGCAAGCAGCAGCAGTCTTTCTGTCCTCCAGCTCCTGGTCCCAGTGCCTGTGAGTAGAGCTACCAGCAGGTGCCTTTTCCCTCCTAGAGAGGGGTGGGGCTTTGGGGCGGAGCTCAAAGATGGGGTTCCCAGGATCCCAGGAGGCCTTAGCAACTAGAGCACAGCAGCCAGTCACCCCTCATTCCCAGATGGGTGGAGGCCAAGGTTTGGGCTCTAAGGGGCATTTGCTAATCCAGGTGACTCAATCACCATTCATCTGAGCATGTCCTACCTCCTTGGGTCATGGCCCCAGAGAGGAAGTGGGGGGCAGGTCTTCAGATTCTGGGGCCACCCAGCCATTGCTCACATTTCTACAGCCACTGTCCAGAATTCCTGATTGTCACCTACTGCCCATACCCAGTTGTCACTGGGATGCCTGAGACGGCTTGGAGGATTGTCCACTTTTCTAATAAAAAAGTTTGACACAACTTTGTAGATACTTTACTTATCTTAAATTGGTGACATGGACACAAGCAACATTTTCAGCTCGTTTCTGAAACTGCAGTTTCCCTGTGCTGGTGAATTGGGGAGAAAGCTCCCCCAAGTTTTCTGTCCCCCCCCCCCCCGCACCCATGCTTGGCCCTGGTACCCTTCTGCTTTTGCAGCTTTACCTCCTTGGCCATAGAGGACACGAAAAAAAGACGGCGGGGCTGGGGGTGAAACAATAGTGGAAAGCTTGTGAGCCAACCGGTAGGCAACTCTGGGTCTATGCTACAGCGGGAAGGGCTCGGACCCCATTCGGGAAAACACCAGGAAGGAGAGAGCAAGTAGGACACGGACTACAAGCCAGGGTAACTGAGTGAAGAGCCAGTCAGGCAGGTTGAGCAACTTAGCAAGTAGAAGGAAATGGGTCTGGGGGAAACAAGCTTAAGAGATAGAAAGCAGCGCTCTCAACGTGGGAGCCTTTAACCTTGCCCACCGCCCCCGGAGACTCCGCCCCTAGCCGCGAGCATGCGTAAACCCGGTCGAGGTGCCCAGTGGAAATTTAATTCCCCAGAAGCCTTCGCGCTCCAGGGTTTCCCAAAAGACCCGGTTTGGAAGGATCCTTGGCTTGCTCCGCTCAGAACGGCGGCAGGGAGGGGAGAGAGGAGGGAAGGGTTTATTCTCTTATGGGGCGTGGCTTCATTTCACGGGGCGGGACTCTGGACAAAGGGTGGGGCCATAGGTGGCTTTGCGCGAGGGCCAGGTGGGTGGGCTAGTGAGCAGAGCCCTCCTGGGAAGGGTGGCTGGAAAGAGCTCATTCCTTTCTCTAGCCACCGCTACCTGAGTTACCCCAGCGTGATGCCTGGATTCCCATGAGACGCCTCCCCTCCGTACCCCCGCACCTGACCCCTCCTCTCACCTGGCCTTGCTGAAGGAGCCCTGATGTGCACCCTTGGTTCCATAGAGCTGTAAAGTCTGGCCCAGCTTTGGCTCACCAGGAACATTGTTTCCTTCGTCTTGATTGTACAGAGAGGGTCTGTGGCCTGAACAAAATCTGGGTTGTCCAGGGTCAGGCACAGGACTCAGTGTTGGTCACAGGCAGGTATGGGTATGACTGGTGGCCATGAGATGGTAGAGAATGGCACTCTGAACACGTAGACATCCTGGTCACCAGCGTGTCCTTTGCCCTTTCCTTGCGGAGGGCTCCCCTGAGGCAAAGGTGTAGTCCAGGTAGAAGAGGACCAGGTAGGAGGAGGAAGAGGACAGGAATGGGGCCTCTGATGGGTGTGGTCAGTTTAGTACACAACACAGAAGCGCGTGCTGACCTGATGCGACACAAGAAAGGGCTACTCCACCCTAGGCAGGTGAGTGTGTTCAGTGGGCCCTCCACCCAACACGTGGACTGCCAGCTTGTCCAGGTATTTCCAGCTTCCCACTTCCGGTCAGGACACCCGCCGAGCCTCTTCGTGCCTGTCCCAGGTCCTCTCTGCCCACCCCTCTGGTATCCGCTTAACCTCTTATCCCTTTTGCTGTCATATCGCCGTCTTTGAGTTGATGAGTCCTAGGTGCAGTGTGGATACGTCAGTGAGTTGGAAAACTCCCGGCGTTCACACAGGGGGTGTGTCGGGGTTTGGCGTGAAAGGACCATGCCCCTTCAAAGCTCGAAAGGTAGACTAGACACTGGTGGAACGCTGGGACCCCTGCTCGGGCATTGTGAGGCTCAAAATGTAAGGAAAGGTTTCCCTTACAAAAGGCAGAGGGGCAGCCAAGGGGGAAAAAGGGAATGTTGGCACACGGGGATCCCGACCCGCCTGTAGCTAGCTGTGAGGTCGACCCTGGGAGCAGACGCCAGGCCAGGAGTGGATCGAGGGGCGGCTAGGAGACTGGCCCCGCCCCGTGGACCCCGCGCGGGTCCCCAGACGGGGGGTGGCGCTGCGGGCGCGGGCGGGCGCCGCGCGCACTGCGGTCCCCGCGCCTCCGCCGCAGAACGCGCCACGCTCCGCACGCACCTGCCGCTGCCGTCGTCGCCGCTGTCGCCGCCGCCGCGCCGAGCCTTGCGTCCAGCACCAGCGCTCGCGCCCCTGGGTGCCGCCTTCGCCCGCCATCGCCCGAAGTCGCTGCTGGAGCCGCGGGAGCTATCGGAGCCGCTAGAGCCAGAGAGCCAAGGTGCGAGCGCCGCATCCAGGCCTGCCTTTGAGACAACCTCTGCTGCTGCGGCGGTGCAGCCGGGGAACGCCAGGCTGGGGCAGGTGAGCGGGGGGAGGGGCGGGGGTCAGATGCATCATTCCTTCCTTCTCTTATAGGGTCAGTCCTCCGGACAGTGAATCTGGCCTCGGAGGGCATACTGGGGAGGGGGTTGGGTTCAGAATTCCGTGAAGACTTGGATCCCACGGATAAGGTCAGGGTCAGAGGTCGGGCACTCTGTCCTTTGTGCAGGGTGGGGGTGAGGGCGAAAGTGAGGTTGGCCCCGTGTTGCCCTCACGCTGTCTCTCACCCGCAGCTCGGGCCTGGTGCAGGCCTCTCCATTGCTGTTGCCGCGGAGCCTGCAGCCCAGGTCCTCCGGCAGCCAGGGATCAGGCTAGCTGCCTTCCCTGGGCGCCCTGTCCTGGAGCCATGGGGCCCACCTAGCCCCTGCCTGCCCAGATGTCCCGGCCCAGGGACTGCTGACCTCTGCTGCAGGAGGAGGCCCCTCCACGCCCCCTTGCCAGCCTCAGCAGACAGAGACCCTGGGTGAGCCCCTGCGTGAACCCCACAGCCCAAGACAGCCTCCTGTACCCCCTTGCCCCCGCCTGCTTCCCCCTCCCCCTCCTCTTCCTCCTCCTCTCCGGACTGAACCAGATAAGCCATTGTGGCCACTGGGGGGGGCCCTGCCCCCCAATCTGTCACCCGCTGCCCCTTGCAGTCCACGGAGTAACCGGGGGCCTCACCAGGCCTGGCAGGACCAGGATGCAGCCCCTTCTCTTCCCCCACGGCCCCACCCAACGCCCCCACCTGTGCCAACGTCCGGTCTGACTGTAGAGAGCCGGATGCCAGCTGACCCTGGGCCTGAGGTGGGCAGTGGATGGCCGGGCCTCCTCATGTCCTGCCTGAAAGGCCCCCATGTCATCCTCAAAATGGAGGCCATGAAGATTGTCCACCCTGAAAAGTTCCCTGAGCTCCCGGCGGCCACCCCCTGCTTCCCACCTGCACCCAGGCCCACTCCCACTCTGGCACCCAAGCGTGCTTGGCCCTCAGACACAGAGATCATTGTCAACCAGGCATGTGGGGGGGACATGCCTACCTTGGAAGGAGCACCCCACACTCCACCCTTGCCAAGGCGGCCCCGCAAGGGCAGTTCTGAATTGGGCTTCCCCCGGGTGGCACCAGTGGATGAGGTCATTGTAAATCAATATGTGATTCGACCTGGCCCAACAGCCTCTGCACCTTCATCATCCGGGCCAGTGATAGCAGGTGAGCCCCTGGAATGCCCCACCTGTGGGCACACATACAACGTCACTCAGCGGCGGCCCCGCGTGCTGTCTTGCCTGCACTCTGTGTGTGAGCAGTGCCTGCAGATTCTTTACGAGTCTTGCCCTAAGTACAAGTTTATCTCGTGTCCCACCTGCCACCGTGAGACTGTGCTCTTCACTGACTATGGCCTGGCCGCACTGGCTGTCAATACATCCATCCTGAGCCGCTTGCCACCTGAAGCCCTGACGGCCCCATCCGGTGGCCAGTGGGGGGGTGAATCCGAAGGCAGCTGCTACCAGACCTTCCGGCAGTACTGTGGGGCTGCATGCACCTGCCATGTGCGGAACCCACTATCAGCCTGTTCCATCATGTAGTGTCCACCTGCCCACGACTGCCTGCAGGCCCTTGCTCGCCGCTTCTTCAGGGAACTGGCCCTGTCCTGTTTCCCGCTGATCCTTTCTTGCCCACTGTGGCTTCTGGCCCTACCCTGCGTGGCATTGTCGCTGCAGCCAACTTTGCCATTAAAACTCTTTGCCAAAGTTTGCACTGGTTCACTGATTGAAGCTTACTCCTGTGGGCTAGGCCCGGGCCTGGGCCTTGAGTAGGTTCCCAGGGCCATAGCCCAGACAGTCTAATTAGGAACTGCCAGAAGGCAACCCATCTTCATTCAGGGTTGGCCAGCTCTACTTGTTGCTCGGGAGGCCTGGGACTAGCTGTGAACATATTGGTGCAGAGGATTGCTAGAGTGTGGCACGTGGGGCTGCGGCCTAGCTAGGCAGACAGAACCTTCAGCTGTGTGTGGATGCTCACTGGTAATCCAGCACTCTGGAAGCCAGGGCAGGATTGAGGTCGGCATTGGTTTCACAGTGAGATATCCACCCCACCCCCTAAAAAGTACCTTTCCTCTGTGTATCGGCGTAAATGAATGCAGACAGAAATTGTAATAAATATATACAGCTTTAATTGGGAAATAGACTTACAGAACCAGAGGTACCAGCGGAAAACAGGAAAGAAATCTTTATAAGTAAAAAAAATGTCCTCGGGGGACCCCACCTTACAAGTAAGGTGATTGGCTGGGTCTCTTCTACACCTCTGGCCAAGGATATGTAGAAATGGCCTTTGGACAGCATGAGCTAAGATCCTGGCGGCTCTCTTGTATGGCACTGGCCTGTCTGTCTGCGACTGGATTAGGTACCTCTGAAGAGTATGAGAGCTGCCTGGATGGCGGAGATGGAATAATGAGGATGGCTGTGGTACAATGGTATCAATAGCAGCTGTTTATTTTTATTTATTTAATATTTATTTATTGTGTATACAATATTCTTTCTGCATGTATGTCTGAAGGCCAGAAGGGGGCACCAGATCTCATTACAGATGGTTGTGAGCCACCATGTGGTTGCTGCGAATTGAACTCAGGACCTTTGGAAGAGGAGGCAACGCTCTTAACCGCTGAGCCATCTCTCCAGCCCATCAGCAGCTGTTTATTGAGAGCCACTCTTAGGCTGGGTATAGACAGAGACAGCCCACCTTACACTGTGTCACGAATAAGCCAGGAGGTGGGCTTATATTTGTCTTCATTGCCGAAATGAGGGCTCCTAGTCCAGTGACATGGATTGTATAGTCAATTACAAACAGAACTGGACCTTGGGCATTTGCTGTGGGTTTGGATTGAACCTTGGCCCTTGCAGTACAAAACCAGTATTGATCCTAGCTGCTCTGGGATACCCTGTCTGGTGAGGGCATCTTAGGTTGGGTGAGGAGCTTTTGAAGAATGGGTTTGTACAGTGCTGACCCCTCCTGCTAGCTACTGTGGCCTTCAGGGGCACACATCAACCTGTGTGGACAGGGGAGGGGGTCCCTGCAGCCCTTGCCTTCTCCTAGCCACGGAATTCTGCTGGACCTCTATTCACGTTTGCGCCCACCCTCACCAGATGGACCTCAGGAGTCAGTGTTAGGATCCAGCCATTGCCTCTGGCCAGTCACGTGTTTGTCCATGGTAAGCACATGGGGCTCTGGTCACAGCTCTTCCTGTTAGGCCAATCTCCTTCAGAGGCTGTCCTTGGCTTAGTGTCCTTGGCTTTAGCCAGTATCTGGGCTGCAGGGGTGTGTAAGCACTCTGGCTGGCCCAGGCTCTTGAGCAGGCCTAGTCTTGGGATTGTGATAGCAAGTCTTTGCTAATGACAAGAATCCGAGCCTGGGCTCTGCTCAGCGGCTGGAGCGGTCTAGGAGCATGAAGAACACTCCTAGCAACACGAGCGGCATGAAGATGAGCGCCAGCCCCAGCAGTTCTAATGCCAGCAGGCTCAGCAGTGACAGGCGACGGGCACAGGGGCCACGTTCCCGCAGTGTCCACAGCCAGGTACTTAGGCTGGGAGGGCAGGGAAGGAAGGGGAGGCAGCTCCGGCCTCCCACGGGCCCGGCCAGGAAACGCAGGCGGTAGCGGTGCTCCAAGAATCCCCAGGGCCCAGGGCCAGGACGCAGGGGTGTGGTGGATGCAATGGGCACTGGGTGCTGGGGTCCATCAGCTCGAAGCAGTTCCTCCTGCAGCTGACAGATCTCCCACTCTAGCATGGGTGTCTTCTGACGACACAGTGGGCAGCACACACGGCCCAGGTCAGCTCTGGGGGTTATGCCTAACAGCTGGTGCAGGCAGCCCACACACAGGCTGTGACCACAGTTCAGCAAGGCCTGGTGCTGCTCATCAGACCCGTAAGGCTCAGTGCAGATGGGGCATTCCTCCTCTGCCTGTCCCTCACACTCTTCCTGCTCCTCCACAGTTGACAGGGCCTCCAGTTCAGGCTTACTGTCTGGAGCCCTGGCATCCTGGGGGGAGCTGAGATTATCCTCTTCATCTGCTGGTAGCTGGCGCAGTGGGTCCAGGAGCTCAGGACTCAAAGGAGTACAAGGTGAACTGGCGGGTGTAGAGCTGGTGTCATTAGGCCCCAGGGTAGAACCACCAGAACAGAAAGCAGGATGGGAAGACTGGGACTCCAGGGTGGCAGCAGGGATTGTTGACGATCTAAAGGTTAGTGTGGCCCTCAGGAGCCAGACAGAGCTTGGTCTTGATTACCAGGGCACTGACCTCCAGATACACCTTTGGGCTTGCTGACCCTACCGGAAGTAAACTTCAGTTGGGTCCCCTCAGAGTCGTCAGCTCCTGGAATTTCAGTCTTAAGAGTGGTGTTGGCCAGGCCTGGTCTCTGTTCCAGCGGTTGTCGGACAAAACAGAGGTTCCTCAGCTCCCAGCTGCCCTCGGACCTGTTTGACTCCTCCAACAGGGTTTCTCTTTCCAGGGGTAAAGGCCCTGCCCATGGGCGGGCCAACTCCTATCACACCCCTTCCACCTGCTCGTTCTTCTAGATAGTGTGTTCCAGCACTGGGCTGAGACTTTCCAATAACTCTCTGGCCATCAAAGAAGGGCATGAACTTAGCTGAACTGTTAAGGTTTAAGATCAGACAGAGCCAAGACCTGCCTTCTAAGTACAAAGGGGAGAGAGACCAGACCAACAGGAACTTAGACATCAGACATCCAAGTGCAGTGTGATCCTAGCATAGGTGCATGCAGCCTCACACATGGCCTGGAAGAGTCTTTGGCTAACATTAGCAAATGCAGATAATCCAATCCCACCCACCATCCCCAAATCTAGGAGACGCAAAAGCACAGAAGTGAGTAGCTACCCAGGCAGTTTACTCAAGGTGTTAAGGGCCTGAGACAGACTGACTTGTTCATTCTCAGTGCTCAGGAGAATCAGCCCCTGGGGCCTCTCACCTGAGCCCGAGTCCCACAGGTGCTGTGGGTGAATGGAAATAGCACCAGGGCAGAGGGGCAGTGCGGCCCTCACAGGACTCCCTGCCTCCTGGAGGCCTTAGCAGCTCCTGTGGTATGGACCATAATGCAGATCTGGGGCACAGTGATGGGGACAGAGAGGAAACCAGGAGTGTACATTGCACTGGGGTTGGGGGAAGTGTGGGTGGGACACTGGGTTCCACTGAATTTGGCTGGATTCAGAGAGTGCCCTGCTAGTCAGCTGGAGTCAAGAAGCTACACCATGGTCTCACAAGTGTTCTGGGATCAGAGGACAGGAGGTGATAATGGGCCCTGTAGACTCCAGGAGGCTCTCCAGTGCGGCTGTTGGTGTGGACGTGAGCTAGCAAGTGGCTCCTCAGGCCCAGGTCTCAGTCTGGAAACGCAGTGTCTGCTGGAGCCTGGCAAGGTAGGCAGCCGCATCTGCGCTGGAGAGTTGTCCTTCTTCTTGAAAAATGTACGTCAGGGCTTCCGCAACGTCCGCAGGCATATACTTAGCATTGCTGGAGGGGTAGGCTCAGAAAGCTCAGTGATCCTGTGGCCCCAACCCCCACTCCCCACCTCTGAAGACTGGTCCGCTCCTCTACACCCCCAAATTGGCTCACCCTGCTAGGTAGAAGTGGGCACCGTGGCGATCCAGCAGCTCCCAGACAAGGGGCCCCAGCTCTCGGAGCCGATGCTGCACGTACACCTTTTGCTCCTGCAGGTGTCACAGGCTGAGTCCCAGCCATCCCCACTCCTGCCCCACCTAACTTGAGTATACTCACCTGCTCCCGGGAGAAGGCCGTAACCAGGGTCAGGCAGCCTTTCTTCTCTAGCTCTTGCCACTCAGTCTGCCAGTAGAAGTCCTGGTCCCGTTTGCGGCAGCCAAAGAACAAGAAGTTTCCTGGGGTACATAGGGTGGCCCCCTTGTCTGGATACAGGGACTCAGCCAGACCCGTCTCAGTGGTCACACTGTCCTGGGACTCCTATACTCACCAGTTTGGCTGTGGGCCACTCGCTCTTGAATGGCTGCTCGAAAGGGAGCCACACCAGTTCCAGGCCCTACCATGATAATGGGTGTGTCTGGTGTCTCTGGGAACACGAGGCTCCCAGGCCGCACCCACAGAGGCACCTGGACAGGTCCTGTTGCAGGAGGGAGAAGGCATGAAGGAGGTCAAAACAAAAGGTTGAGGTGCTCACTGGTGGGGCTTGAGCCCCTGTAGCAGGAGGTACAGGGAAGGTAGGAGCTTGAGGCTGCGGTCTCTCCCACCCCCAGAAATAGAGATCACCTTGCTCAGGATTCAGGGATGCTAGCCAGGAGGAGCAGAGGCCACGGCGGGGTTCCTTGAGGCGAGTCTGGTACTGTACCACAGCCACAAGGATCTGTAGCCTCCCGGGATGAGCCTAGGGGGCACAGGGAAGGCCCTGCCCTGCTAAACCATTCCTGTCTGCTACCAACCCCACGAGGGGCAGGCTCTGATAGAGAAACTGTCCCTGTTCAGAAGGCAACCCGTCTGCAAACACCCTGCCCCGTCCCAGCTTTCCCACAGCCAGTCCACTGAGTCCCTCACCAGCAGGGAAGAGGCAATGGAGAAGGCCCGTGGGCGGATCCGAGGGATAAGGTCCAAAAGGTAGTCTGGAGGAATGGCAGCTGCCGTGTGTGGAAAGTCACACAGCACCTGGACAGAGGGAGGTTTAGAATGGCGGTGGCATGCCAGTGCTGAGAGCCCATACCCACCACTGCCCACAAGCCCAC